TACAGCAGATCTGCGCGCTCCACCGGCCCCAACGCTTCCGCCTCTCGGAGCAGGGTATCCAAGTCCGAGCCGACAACGACATGTTTCCTCGCCTCGCCATTCGCGACCGCGTGCAGCAGGCCGATCAGCCCACATGCGTTGCGGATCGTCTGCTTGAACCACATTACCGGCTCTGCGGGGCCGGAGCCGGTGTAGGTGGCTTTGGGGGCATCTTCGGCTTCACGTGAAGCTTCGTAGGTTGCGGAGACGGGGAAGACCAGGAGGAGGGCCTGGGAGGGCCGTGGGACAAAGGCTAGGAGTTCCGGCTCGTCGATCGAGAATACGTCTGTGAAGCCTAATGCGGGGGCTAGTCCCAGTTGGTGGACTAGGTGGGACATCACTTCCGGATTGTTTTCTGGGTCTGGGGTTAGTTTTGGTCCTTGGATTTGGAGGTTTGGGGGTTGGGGTTGGGGTCGAACCTAGTGGCACGAAGGCCTTTTGAGTGGGGGGGACATCGACGTGTGCCATGTGTGGTTTTTGGTGGTGGTGTGTAGATAGGAAGGTGTGTTTGTAGTAGTATGTCTTTGGGATAAGGTGAGGGTTAGAAGGATTGCGGGGTTCGGGCGTTTCCACGTTTTCCTGCATGTTCGATATTAATTACGGAGAAGACTTATAATTGGTTTTATTGGCTTTAATCGGCTTTAGTTGGGCTCTAATTGAGTGAAAGTTCGTTGGAAACAGTATTAGTCTCTTATTAAGTTTAGACAGACAAATTGACAGGAGAATATAAATCCGACTCTCTCCATCGGGCTGGAGTTTCCAAATTAGGATATAATCTCAGAGCCTGAAGAAACAGGCTGCAATGTATGTTTGCCTGGTTTGCGGCTTACATGTGGCGCTTTTAAGAGTAACGCTCAATATTAATAGCCACCGATCCTTAATAGATCCTCAATAGATTCTAATAACAGATCCAACCGGCTAAATTGATTTGGGTAATTCTCCACTGACCTGTCAAACAGAAAGCATTCAGATCGCCCATTTCTCAACAGCCTTAAAAGGAGGGAGTTAATCACCGAGGAGGCACCGAACTTAACCCCGTCCCCAAAGTGGATGACTAAAAGTGGACGGCTCTGACAAAGGCGCGCACTAAGTGGGCGGCTGCATACTCCGTGCTCGCCGGACCCAGAAAGACCTTTGTCATTCAAGACACTTAGTACGGACTACTACGGAGTACACGCCATTAGTTTCGGTTGATGATCACGATCGCCACTTTGCCTGCTCAAAACTATCGGACCTTCCGAATACATCTAGTGTCCCACCAGTAATGATGGGATTGGTATCTGATTTCCCGTCGGACCCATTCCAATTTCGGAGGCTCGCAGGAAAATGGAAATGGGGCCTGGTTACAAGGCTATGGACATAAGATTACCAGGTGCTCCATAGCGTCGACCCAACGACATGGTAGCTTTTGTTCACCCCTGCCGATATCTTCCCGAGCACTAGAATAGTGAAACATCGGTGGGACTTCTAATGGAGAAAAATTGGGTTTTTTCGAGTCCATGTTTCTCCTATACGCCATGCTTGGAAGTCCCAAGATCATGATATTTCACACCCGTACATTCGCATGACCTGACAGGGGTGGTGCAATCTAGCGGCTCTTCATTCAGTTTATACGCGTGGAGAAAGCCACGAGCGTTGTCGATCACCACGAGGTGGGCTTAGTGCTGTTTTTCCGTGGAGACTAAAAAAGCATCTTTGACAAGCTAAGGGCTAGAAGGGCTAAACGTTCTAGTTCTGCTTTACTCGCCCCTGTATTTTGTGGCTTCTCGTGGCCCGTGACATAGGAGGGTGTTCTTTTATTAAGAATCCTTCTCCACCACTTTGAAATCCTTCCGGTATGACAGGCATTCAAGATGACAGACGAACAGCAGAGAAAAATGGCATGCCAGACCGTGGCAGCGGTCTTTCTGCCCATTGCCACTATCACGGTGGCGCTGCGCATATATGTGCGTGGCTGGGTCGTAAAGGCGTTTGGATGGGATGATGGGGTTATGGTAGGCGCAATGGTACGTTCAATATTCTTCTCCAATTCGAGATTTTTTCCAAAACTGTTATGTGGAGTTGTATCAGAATCAGAGATCTAACAAGCTTTACCCCAGTTATTCTACGCCATGTTTTGCGGGACTATGATTGGAGGCACAATATACGGCACAGGTTATATGCTTGACCACCTCACTGTCCACAACCGTGTCCTAGCAAAGAAGTACTGGTGGCTCTGCGAGATTGCCTACTGCTTCGCCTCGGTTGGATGCAAGATCTCCGTCTGCATCTTCCTCATGCGCATCACTATCAAACCCCTCCACATCTGGATCCTCTATACCGTCATGCTCTTGACCGTCCTAGCAGGCCTGGTTTTCATGTTGCTCATGCTCCTCCAGTGTAGGCCGCTGTCATACTTCTGGTTTCAAGTGGCACGCGACCCTAGTATTCACGGCAAATGCATGGATATGAAGGTCATTGTCATCATGACCTACATTTACAGTTCATTTGCCGCCCTGTGTGATTTCACCGTCGGCTTGTTGCCTATCTTCCTCGTCCACAATCTTCAAATGAAGCGCCAGACCAAGATCGCCGTCATGGCCATCTTAAGCATGGCTTGCATGTATGTTTCAACTCGGGTCTCCGTACTAGTTCTAGATCACTGACAAGAGACTCCATAGTGCTTCATCGGCGGTTATCGTCCGTATGCCCTTCGTCGACGGATTCTACGACCCCGATTTCCTCTGTATGTTCCGACTCTCCCGAAAACAAGGCCAACGCCCCGAAGAAAACTAACCAAATCTCTCACTCTAGACGCAACATACCAAATCGCCATCTGGTCCAATGTCGAAGCCGGCCTCGGAATTACAGCCGGCAGTCTCGCAACCCTCCGACCCCTCCTCCGCATGTGGACGGGCTCCCACTCAGATCCATATTACAACAACAACTCCGGGTTCCCGTCCGCGTTCCCCGGCGGACGCTCACGGTCTGCCTCGCGCCAATTGGGTGGAGGTGATAACCGTCCGTTTCCTTTGGGCTCGCTGGATGACAGCGGTCATCGCTTGAGACCGGATAAGCTTGCTGTCACTGTTACGACTATCCACAGCCAGAGGGACCCTAATGACCTTTACTCCACGAGCCCGACTAGCAGCGAGGAGAGGCTGACTTCGGATCGGTCCTCGCCTCGGAATATTGGGTTGGGCATTCACCGCACGTTTGAGGTTACGCAGACTTCAACGGAGAGGATTGATTCTGAAAGGATAGCTGTGAGGGAACATGTATAAGTGACCCACGTATAACATGACTTAAAATAATATATACTAATATCTTGTTATCGAATTGTTCCGTTCGGGCTGTATAATGTCATTCTATTGACTCGTGAAGAATGAGTTCCTTCATCTATTGGAACTTTTGGTTACGCCTCAAACAACTCCCTTATATTGACGGGGTTGCTTTCCCTGCTTCAACGGCTCAAAGATATCCGTCCACAGCTCATTAGCCTCGCCCAGGAAGTATGTTAAATCAACATCGGCCAGACTAGCATCCCCATCTCCAGACAAAGTCTCAAGCTGCGAGATCAAGTTCTCCAGCCCAAACGCCTTACCCGTTGCCTGCGTTGCACCAGCTTCGAGCATAACATTGACAACATGAATATGGAAATGGTAGTAAGTCGGTTGATCTAATATTCAAAGTCAGCAAAAAACCACCAATGCAACAAAATACAACCGTAACTCACAATGAACGTAAAGCTTAATCTGATCCTCCTCCAAACCAGGATACATAGAAACCGTAGCCTCCAGCACCCTCCCCCTCAAATACTTCAACCAAGGCACAAAACTCTTCTTCAAATCCCTCAAACTCCAAATATCCCTCCTCTGCACCAAAGCCAACAAATGCAACGACCCGATACTCTTCCGATCCCAATTCAAATCCGGCAACATCAAAAACCCATCATCAGGCCCGAGCCCCTCATCCCGTAGCACCACATCCTCCTGCTCAGTCCTGCCCTCAAGAATATTAAACACCCAGTTCAGCCGCCCCTCCTCGCGCTTCGCCTGCATGAACGGCCGCACGTGCGCGCGGTATATCTCCGCCGTCTCCGTCACCATGCGCAGAGACTGGTTCGAGTACTTCTTGATGTGCTGTGCGGTGCATGGCCAGATGAGGTTGAGTTTGAGGTCTTGCTGGGGGTTCGCGGATTCCGCGGGTGTGGTCGAGGCCGTGTTGTTGGCGTTTGATGACGCAAGATACCAGCGGTAGATGTCGTTGTCGCCTAGGTTGTTGACTCGCGAGATTGCGGCGTGGAAGGCTTGTAGCACGGCAAGGGATTCCGTTTCGAATGCCGCGCGCTCGGCTATTAGGATGCCTTGCGTATTGTCGATTGTGCCTAGGAGGGCGATTCGTCGGCCATTTTGGTCTGCATTTCTTTAGCTTATTGAGGCTGCGGGGTAGGAGGTGGATGGGTCGGACCTTGTTTGAGGAGCTTGCTCACTTGGAATTTGGTGATTAGTGCCTCCGGGGCGAGCTTCTCGGTGTCTGCAGAGTCGGCCATGTTAAGCTTTCAATGTGGGTATGACTAGTTAAGTTCAAGATGTTGACGATTTACTCAGCTTTATCGGGTGGGGCGGTCAGGCTTATCTTAGATCTCCAGGGCTATCAGATGGAATATGTTGCAATGCCTCGATACTAGTATAGTATATAATGCTGCAGAGTTGCTTTGATATTCTGATATATTGAGCCCTAAGTGTGTGCATCGAACAAATTGCACCAGAAGCAACCGCTTCCAGCCTTCTTCACATATAGTTCTTATTTTTTTTTTGTGCCAAAAGTGATTACCTTTTTTGTAAAGGTTATAAGGAGTTCTTATGTTCAGTTTCAAGCAAAAGTAAATGTATGTCACAAAATCATGCTACCAGATGCACTGGTCTACAGCCTGAATCTAGAGAAATCCCCCATTGACTCCATTCTAACCCAACAAGCCCTCAGGCAGTAGCAGACTCCTTTCCAGTCTTCCCTGATGTTGGGGTTGTATGCATCTAAGACAATCAGAAAGAACCAGGGCAAAAGAATAACCCGAATAGATCATAATAGATGGGGAACATACCGCGTCCGCAAATTGCAGCCACTCCTCCACTCCCTTGACAAAAGTGTCATCTGCCGCAGGAAGAGCCTCATGCCCCCATACTACAAACTCATCAAAGGTCCTCTGAATCTCCATAACCTTCACTGGTTCCTCGGGTTCAGCCTCTGCATCCTCAGCGCCATCACTGTCTGCCGGTTGAGCTGCAGGTAACACACGGTCTGTGTGTGTTGCGACTACACCTATATTTTCAATGGTATATAATCAGCCAATTATGATTCAATTACCGTTTTGGTATTTCCAGGACTCTCATTCGGATGTTCTCTCATACCTTGATAGCCATCAGGGAGGGCGATGCGCCGACCTCGAAGTTTGCGTCCGCGGAAATACGTCGTTTGTGTATTATCTGGATAAGAAGAAGTGTTAGTTTTGGTTTGTACATTAGTCTAGCTGGATTTTGTCCTGCTAGAGCTGTCTGTCTTGCATGCCTTTTTCGTCTTGCACTGTCCAATACCGATCCAGTGAATCAACTGGCCCATCGTGGTGAATCCGGCATGGAATGATATTTGGCACACATTGTAGAGCCGAGTCATTCTTCTCGGATTGTGAGCTCGCTTTTGCGCAAGGCTGGATGGCGTACATGTCGGGCATTGTCTTGGTTGCTCTTCGTAGAGGACGATTCTGAGTGACGAGGCAGTAACGGTATAAACCAGGATATTTTCTGGGCCTAATTGTTTTCCAATTTGTTCCTATGTTGTTCAAGTCTGGATTAGAGAGGTATTGCCTGGGTTCCGCGGTCTGGGTGGTTGCGCTGATTCTTGCAAAAGATTGGACGTGAGGCGCGACGCGTTCTCCCCGTTCTCCGCGTTAAGTGGAAATTCGAGGATCGACGACTACAAATTTATCTATTGATTATACGTATATTGTAGAAGTTTTAATGCATTTAAATTCGTAGTCGTACAAGTAAAAAATACAGCTAATTCTCGTGGAAATGCAAAACAATTCAATTGGCAATGATCGGGGTATACATGTACAGAGTGTCTAAGCATGTCTCGAGAGCTATATCGAATATTTAACCACATCAACGCTTGCGTGTGGTCTTCTTCTTCTTCTTCTTTTTCTGGCCCTCACCCTTCTCCCTGTTGTCGGCAATCATCCGAGCAGGCCATTTCTTCAAGTGTTCCCGCTCAAACGCATCCTTCTCCCGACGATACAAAGCCATCGTGGCCCGAGCATCTTCCACACTAGAATGCGCTCCGTCCTGGATCTTGATTCCCAAGAACTCCTCAGCCAAAATCTTCAAACGTGGTGATCCACCACCTGCGATCCTCCGATATGGCGGGTGCTTGCTCGTGTCTCGGATGTCGCGCTTGGGATGGCTGAGAAGGAGAACGTCCAAATCATTGCTGACAGCATGACCGACGAGAATGCGGTCCTTCAAGATATCTGCGATTTCTTTCTGAACGTGCTCAAGGGTTCGTGCCTCCACCATGTGCTTCGGGGCAATCCCGCTCACATGAGTGCGCCAATCTGTGACCATCTCCTTCGGCCGCACGTACGAATCGTATATTTGGTCGCCGTTGAAGTTCACGACACTGACGCGGGCAAGTGCAGAGTCGCTGTCGGGGTTTGGTCCGACGCCCACCATTTCGCAATCCATCGCGACGTATTTCCCTAGTTCGGCACTGGAGCTAGATAGTTAGTATTGATATCGAAGGATAGGCCAAATAGTATGGCTGTCCGTCTGTGCCCTGGCACTTACCTTGGTGAACGGCCTTCATTCTCCTTGTGACGCGAACTCGTCTCGATCTTTGGAGCGGACGCATCGGCTGAATCGCCGGTCTCTTTCTTATCGGACATTCTCTTGCGCTTGAGAGTTGGTTTGGCGTCTCGGTTATATGGCTTTTGCTTCTCGGTCAACTTTCGTTTCTTCACAATGCCATTTCCAGAGTCGAGCTCGGAGGGCTTGCGCTTGACAGTAGGATCCTTCTTTAATGTCGCCTGCAGCTTCTTCCAATTACTGGAAAGCGCCGTCTTGTCCATTCTGTGTTCTGTTGGTGAGAGAAGATGGGAAAGATAAAAAAAGCCGATAAGCAAGTAAATTTTCGGGACCCACTTTTTATTTTGCGGATAGTTGACCAGGCGACTTTTATACAGCGCCATTTGGACTATATATATTATCTTTACGGTTTTTGATTGAGTTTAGTGTTTAGTCTTTACTTAATTTAGCTGTAAGTGCTTGAAATATATTGAAATGAAACCCGATCCTAACATCTAACCTTAGGACCACATTATATGTCCAGATAAACAAAATGCACGCGCTTTTAGAGGGAATATGCAGAATCATTCGTACCCAGTCTTGAAATCCTTCGCAGTCCACTTCTCCGTGATCTGTCTTCTGGCCTTGCGTGCCTGGGTGATTGGTGTGCGAGACTCGAGCTTACCTTGAACGATCAAGGTTCGGAATCTGTCATCCAAGAGATTGCCTTCCGGCTTCAAGAGTCGCAGAGAATCCTGCAGCTCGTCAGGAAGCACCAGCTCCAACGGCTGCGCGGGTACACTAGAAGAACTTGTTAGTCGTAACATGGACATAGGAAATGAACACAAACGTACGCTCTCTTGCCACCGAAGGTCTTCTTGCGAAGCGCAGTCTCATCACCAGCTTCATCATCATCCGCATCCGATTGATTCTCGCGCTCAAGCTCCCGTTCTTTGATTTGCTCGGCGATCTTGAGAATATGCTGGGCCTGTTCATCTCTCTTTACTCTCGCTGCCTCCCATTTCGCTTTCCCCTCTGCTAGCTTGCGTCGGATGGCCTTGTTGCGCTGTGTCTTGGACTTTCGTTCGGGGCGCTTCTTGTTCAGCCACTCGGACTTCTCGTACTCGCTTTCGAAGCCCTCCCAGGCACTTTCATCATCCGACTTCACCTCGCCGTTGTCGTTCTGGGCCTCCTCAATCAAACGCTGCTTCTCAGCTTCCTTGGCCTCTTCCGCCAACCGCAGCTTCTCGGCCTCAACCGCCGCCGCACCATGTGTCTCCAATAGTTTATCCCACTCTTCGAACACAGGGTTGTAACTGGTTCCGCCGTGCGGCACTTTAACAGAGGGGATAGGCTTTCCATTGGCAGCAAGCGAGATGGGGGCGTGTTTTAATGTGCTTGGCTCAACCTTGGGCTTAGGCTTCTGCAGGAAATCAAAGCGAGGGTCGTCGTACTTGAGCGTGGGTTCGGCATCTTCCGCCCACGGATCGTAGAACTCATTTTCGGTCTTCTTGGCCAGAGGGTTTCCCTCCTTCGCTACTTGCTTTAGGCGGAGATATTCTTTCTTGCTAACCCAGTCGCTCTTGGGCTTCTTTGTCTTCGGTTCAATGACTCCGTCGGTGACGTTCGGGTTTACACGCTTCCGGCCGTCCAGGGCGGGGATCATTGACCGCTGGGCAAGGATCTCGTCTGACTTGAGGGGCTTCTTTTGCTTTTTGGCGATAGCCTTGCGCACGTCTTCATTACCAACAGTATCGAGAACGAAGAGCTGATCGGAAGGCTTTTCCGAGATGAGGCCACTAGCAGGAAAAGATAGTTAGAATCTTAATCCACAAGTACAAGTGCCAAAAAAAAGAGACAATAATGAGCCATACCCTGTGATCTCGGCATCCTTCAGATCGCGCAAACCCTCCTGCACCGCGGTGATATCGACATTCTTGCGCCACGCCTTCTTGCCCTTACGGGAGGTTTGTTTGAATTGCTTCGGGGCATCCACGGAGGTCGACATTGTGGAAAACAACAGAGACAGACAGTCAACGTTGATAGTATGAAAATATTGGCTTATCTTTTTTTCCGGTCCAAAAAATTTCTGGATCTGCTTATCTCAGCACGCGCGGGGGCGGTGATCGCGGCTACCACGTTTACCGCGCTTGAATGAGAACTCGCTTTTCTTCCGCTTCAAGCTGCCATCATTTACGGCGCGTGAACTCCCCAGTGCCAGTGGTTGTCATTTTCCATCTTTTCTGGTGGCACGCTTGATCTTTTACTATCGCTTTTCGAAAGTTTGACACTGCGCTTAGCGCGATCACACGCCATGCCTGTCGTCAAAGGAGGTGTCTGGTAAGTGCCACCGTTGGAACTCGCCCTCGAGTTCTCGTCGCTAATATACTCTTAGGACCAATATCGAGGATGAAGTGCTTCGGGCAGCTGTACGTGTTTTATAACTCACTAGGAACCTCCCTAGCCTACGTTTTATGGGCAAGAACTAACTCGATCGCAGGTATCCAAATATGGTCTCAACCAGTGGGCTCGAGTCTCCTCCCTGCTCGCACGGAAAACCCCAAAACAATGCAAGGCGCGCTGGATTGAATGGTTGGACCCGGGTATTCGCAAGGTCGAGTGGTCGCGGGAAGAGGATGAGAAACTGCTCCACCTTGCGAAGCTGATGCCCACGCAATGGCGCACCATTGCTCCCATCGTCGGGCGCACTGCCACACAATGTCTTGAACGCTACCAAAAGCTGTTGGATGAAGCTGAATCTCGCGAGAATGACGAGCTCGGTCTCGGAGGACCTGGCGAGGAGAGCGCTGCCCCCAGTGCGGACGATGTCCGTCGCCTGCGGTACATTGGTCTTCCTAAAGCTCTGTGTTCGTGTTGCTGATACCTTTTAGACCCGGTGAACTCGATCCTGACCCAGAGTCCAAGCCTGCCCGTCCCGATACTATCGATCTGGATGAAGATGAGAAAGAAATGCTGAGCGAAGCGCGTGCTCGTCTCGCTAACACACAGGGTAAAAAGGCCAAGCGAAAGGCCCGAGAGCGTCAATTAGAAGAGTCGCGTCGACTGGCCGTTCTCCAAAAGCGTCGCGAACTCAAGCATGCCGGTATTAACGTCAAGGTTGTCACGCGGAAGCCCGGTCAGATGGATTACAATGCAGACATTCCATTCGAAAAGCCAGCTGCTCCTGGATTCTACGATACACTCGAGGAGAAAGACCAGAATGAACGCCAACGAGAAGCGTTCGATCCTCGGAAGCAGCAACTCGCAAATAAAAGAAAGGGAGACCAGGACGACGATGCGGAACGGAAGAAGCGCAAGAACGATAAAAGCGGCACTATGGCTGCCTCTGCTGCAGCTGCACGAGCTGGCCAAATGCAGAAGATTCGCGAGGCCGAACAGAGCAGCAAGCGACGGGGTTTGAACTTGCCGGCACCGCAGGTCAGCGAAAGCGAAATGCAAGATATCATCAAGATGGGAATGGCTGGGGATAAAGCTAGTCAAATGACCGCCGATGAAACAGGCACTCGGGGGCTTATTGGAAATTACTCGACTATTGTTGGAGGAACTCCTATCAGAACCCCCGAGCTGCGCCGGAGGAAGATCGCATCGCTAACGAAATCAAGAACATTCGAGCTTTGACTGAAACTCAGTCTTCCCTCCTGGGAGGGGATAACACACCTCTCCATGAGGGCAGTTCATCAACTGGATTTGATGGGATTGCTCCTCGGCGGCAAGCGATCGTCACTCCTAACCCCATGGCCACGCCATTCCGCCAGGCGAATGGCATGGGTGCGACACCTATGCCCGGTGGTATTGGGGCCGGTGCCACGCCATTGCGCACCCCGCGTGACCATTTAGCTCTGAACCGGGAAGGACAGGGTGTCCAGCTCATTGGCAGCACACCCCGAGACATTAAAATGTACGAGAATCTCACTCGCCAACAGGTGCGCAGCAAGCTGGCCTCGCTCCCGAAACCCAAACAAGCCGAGTGGGAATTGGAGGTTCCATCCGAATCTGCTGAGCCCACCACATCTATGGAGATTAGCGAAGAGGATGCGGCCGAGCGTGATCAGCGTAACAAAGAGGCACGGGAGAAGGCCGCCAAGGCTGAATTCAAGCGTCAATCACAAGTTTACCAGCGAGGCCTTCCTCGTCCCGCCGTTCTCGATATTAACGCTTTGCTGCAACGTGCCTCCCAGGTCACCGGCACCATCGAAGGCCTGATTGCCAACGAAGCCGCCATTCTAATTGCACATGACTCTCGCAAATTCCCCGTCCCCGACGCGCAGATTCAAGGCCAAGCACCAAAGTTAAGCCAATTGGACGACCGGTTCTTGGACGCAGCACGAGCTTCTATTGCCGCTGAGATTGCTTCCACCGAAGGACAGCTGTCGGAATGGCAAGAGAAATTCGACGATGGCTGGTCGTCAGCTCGCGCCAAGTCTCTGCCTGGTCTTGAGAATTACGAGGATGACGAGCAGGATCCCTTCCAAGAAGAACAACGCATGATCGCGGCCTTCGACACTGTTCAAACTTCCCTCTTTGATACTGCCGAGCGCGGAAACAAGCTCGAGAAGAAGCTGTCTTTGCACTACGGCGGATACCAGAAACGGGCTAAGACGCTGCGGTCGAAGATCTTGGAGGCTGGTGCTGCTTTGCCCGCCGCTATAAATGAGCTGGACGCTTTCCGTACACTCCAGATATCTGAGGAGTCGGCTGTGGTCCGGCGACTTGAGAGACTCCGGGAAGCGGTGTCATTTGTTATGCGGCGTGAGCGAGAGGCTCAGGATTTGTACAAGAGCCGAAAAGATGAGCTTGATGAACTTCTTGCCGGGACGGGTACGGTCAATGGATGGCACTAGGTAGTTTGCTTCTTTTTTTTCTGCGTCATGACTACAATATCTTGCTCTTCTGTACAATTACTACCTCAGTCTAATTTGACGAACCGTACGCGGTCATTTTCTGGAAGATGTCACCGACGTATCCAAGTTATAGTATGCCATGAACAGTTTGATAAAGATTTAGTATTGATTTATCTGCTTCCTTAGTTGATAGTGTCCGAATATTTGAAGGCTGGGGCCTCTCTGGTCTCGCTTCCGTGAATCAATGCCATGCTTCATAGATCTTTATATGAAGCCACAAAAAAAGATTCATTAGTAAAGCACCAACCCCAGCATTACTATTCGAACTTACCGATGTCACGCCAGGCTTTGGAGCATCCGCTTGATTCTCGTAAACTCCAGCGAACCGCTTATCGTACTTGGAAAGAGCATCCTTTTCCGCCACCGAAAGATCAGGGTGAGAATTGCCAAATTCCAAGGGAGGTAGGGTCTCCAGGATGCGAATGTAAAGCGCCGTCGAACCATCCCCAACAACCGTCGGATCATCCGCATTAACCCTCTGTCTGAGGCACGCGTTGACCTTGTGGGCATTGACCTCGTAGAACTCACGAGGCGTGCCCCGGTTCGCATAAACGTGGAAGTAAAAGGGAACATCGTGGAACTTCTCACATAGCTCAATGATGTTCGTTTTGTCAGTTGTCCAGCCATCCCAGCCGTATATGACGAAGATGCACTCAGTCTTGCATGTGCGGGCTTCTTCGAGAGCCATTCCCAGATACTTGCTGACTCGGCTGTTGGATCGGATCCGGCTGTGGGCGGGCTGGATGATGGTCTGCATCTTGTGAGGACGGACGCCCAGGAAACCGAACTGCTTACGGTGCTCGGCGAGGGTGATTACAAGCAGTGAGCGCAGGTATTCGTGCATTTGGGTGCTGTTCATTTCTGCGTTCGGATAGTTGTGATCTTTCAGGTTTGAGGCTCGGGCGATAAACACCACCACTGGACCGAGGGGGTTGGGGGAATCATGCATAGCTGTCAAGGATGGGGGTTCCGAGGTGGTGTTGTTACCGACAGGAGGTGGACGAGGTTTGTCCGGCGATTGCTTGAAATGAAGCATAGCTGAAGACGATGATATGCGCAGAGAGTGAGTGAAGAGGAACGAGGAATGATGGAATGAAAGAGTAGAAAAGGAAATACCCCAATGGAGATATGAAGGTTTGTTTACGTGTACGGTCTGGTGGTGTCTACCCAAATAGGAAGGCACGTCCAGAGGAAAGAGCGACCCAGACTGGAAAATTACATGGACCTGGAAGGAAGATGAATAGGAAGCACACATTGTAAACATACAAGTCGGTGAGATCCCTCTTGGACACAACTATAGAAAAGTGACAAAATGATATTGATATAAACCCATTTCACGCAGCTCATCGCTTCTTGATGCTGATATCGATCTTTCCAATGCCCCAGGCAGCGACAAAGACTGTAAGCAAACCCGCAAAGATGGTGAGAGGCTTGCGCAGGGCGTCGACCATGGAGTGATCGTACGTAACCTAATGGCGAATTAGCATAATTGCGAGATGAACAAGTTACAATACGATTAGTACATACCACGAACTTGGAGTCGCGCGCTTCGTCAGTCAGACTGTCAACCTCCAGGGTCAAGGTGGTCCGGCCCAGAGTATCCATGTAGGTCTTGAGAGTGTTCAAGTGAACGTAAATGTGCTTGGCACCAGGAAGACCATTACTGTTAGTCCCCTCAAGGAGCTCAAAACGAACATTGTGAGCACCCTCAGGGAGCACAACGCGCACAATCACACGCTCATACTGGATGCCCTCAGCCATCTTAGGCCCCTCAATGAACGGGACCTTGAGGACATAGGAGTCGGAGTCGACACCCGCGGCACGGCGCAGGAACGAAGCAAGGTCATTGTTCCACCCAATACGGAAGCTGTAGTTCCAGCCTCCGAAGATCGGATAGCGGGGCTTCAGCTCCAAGTTACCGGCGCTCTTACCAACACTCGGACGGTAGCGGCTGGTCGAGACATTGCCGATATCATCAATGAAGTAAGGATCGACAGAACCAGGTAGAAGCGGATATGTTAGCTCGCGAAGCGCCGAAGTAGGCGCTTTCTGGTAGGAGGTGAAGGTCCACTCGACACGCGAGAACTGGTTGGTCAGCTCCGAGCCGTTGTTGCGCAGCCAGTACCGTTCCTCGGTTGCGAGGTTGCCGCCCCAGTGCGAGACTTCCAAGTCACGCTCTAAAAGGTTTACGGTGATGACAGGCTTAGTGAACTCATAGCGGACGGTAATTGGGTGCTCCGTGCCCGGGGCCACCTCGGCCGTGTCATACGGACCGTAGGTGTATGTGGTGCCCTTGCGCTCGGGGTCCGAGCCGGACTTGAGACCCTCCGTGGGTGTATAATCCGGCACATTGTTGCTGGGGAACTTCAACTTGGTTTTCTGTGTAACCGTCGTGTAGGCGGATGGCATGTAGGCGGAGAAGGAGTAGGTGAGGAATTGCTTGTCCGCCTGTCCAATGGTGGCAGGAAGTGGGCTGAGAGAGGAAAGCACCGAGTAGGAGATTCCAAGGGTAATCTGCGACTTCGGGGCCAGAGACTCGGGAAGGTGAACGACGAAATACTGGTTGCCGCTGTTTCAATTGTTAGTTTAATAGGCCCCTGACATGGCCATTGACCTCCCAATTGATACTCACTCAGATGGTACAGCTTTGGTATAGTCTACATCAAAGCGTCCTTTCTCGGGGGCTTTCTTATCCCTCACTTCGAAGCCTCCAACACGGTCAAACACTTCGGCAGGGAAGGGGATGTAGTAGTCGTTCTGGGGCTGCTTGTCGACATTCTCCACAACAACATTGATCGTTTCCCGTACATAACTCTTTTCCAGATTGGTATTGCGAACCAAATTTATGTTTTTGAAAACCTGCGGGGGCTTGAAGCCGGACGGAAGATCCAATCGACTAGGCGTGGTAAGGTTGGTTGCAGCGCACAGGCTGGGCGCGAGCAGCCCGAGCACCGTGGCGGTGAAAAACCTCATTCTGAGTACCTGGAGGACACAATTTCTCCGAGGTTCAAAGGGTTCAATAATCCAAGATGTGATTGTGTCTGGTCGGTGAACCTTGGAAAGCTTGCGAAGCTGATGATACGTGGTCCCCATTGTATACTAGGGTCGCCGAAGCGGCCACATCGCGCACTCCGGCTTATCGCTGATAAGGGCCTAGCTGATTGAAGCTTCTCCTCATCTCGCATCTTTACTTCTTGCATACTTGTTCTACTTGACTTGCAGGTTGAAATTGGCTGGAGGCACAGCTGAAACTTATTTTCATATATCATCATGTTGTCACACACGATGTTTGCCTCTCGAGCTGCTTTAAGGTCCGGCTGTTTGAGGGGAACCCAACTGTTATCAGCTCGTCGCTACCATGGCCTTGCCCAGAGCAGGTTCTTCAAGGTGTCAGACGAGGTGCGTGATGCAATTGCTACAGGTAAACCAGTCGTCGCTCTTGAGACGACAATCTATACACACGGTGAGTTTTTCTGTTCATTCCTGGGATTTCTGGGATTGAAGAGCTTCGCCCAAAAGCGGGGAAGCCAAGACTCTAATCAGCTGTAGGTTTCCCTTATCCTGATAACATTGCTCTCGCCGCATTGTTAGAGTCAGTCGTGAGAGCCAATGGCGGAGTGCCTGCAACTATAGGAATCCTTGGTGGCGTTGCCAAGGTTGGTCTGAGTACGGAAGAGCTTATCGAGCTGGCCTCGACAGCTCAAGAGAAGAGCGCTCTGAAAGTGTCTCGTAGGGATCTCGGATATATCTGTGGCCTAGTGAGTTAGCTGTTACAATGGCACAGAGAGCTGGAACTGATCTATATTAGGGCATGGTTGGTAAGCCAATGCACGGCGGTACTACAATCTCGGGCACTATGATCCTGTCAGAACTAGCTGGCATCAAGATCTTTGGTACCGGTGGACTAGGTAAGTCTAATGATCAAATTCAACCGAAAACGAAGCCATCTGACTTGCTCTAGGTGGTGTGCATCGCGGAGCAGAAAGCTCAATGGATATCTCTGGTAGGAGAACCGTGAAAGCAAAGCAAGGATCCTTAATTATTGACAAATGATTATAGCCGATCTTACTGAACTTGGACGTACCCCGGTAACGGTGATTAGCTCTGGGTGCAAGAGCTTCTTAGACATCCCTCGAACGCTCGAATACCTCGAGACCGAAGGTGTCTGCGTGGGTACATTCGCTGATGGCCGGGATGGTGCCGTTGATTTCCCAGCTTTCTTTACCCGAGAGAGCGGCATTCGCAGTCCCCGGGTCATTCAAAATGAAGCTGAAGCTGCTGCCATAGTTTGTAAGTTTACCCCATGTGTTGAAAGCTACAGCCTCGTTGACGGAATCTCCAGATGCGCAATCAAAGCTTCCAGTATCCTCCGGCATTCACTTTGCCAACCCCGTCCCCCTGGAGCACTCAATCCCCAAAGCCGAGATGGATAGTGTGATTGAAGAAGCTATCCGCCTTTCCCATGTAGAGGGTTACCACGGCAGTGACAACACGCCATTTGTGCTTGCTAAGATCAAGGAACTAAGCGGTGGAAAGAGCGTAGTCGCCAACCGGGCCTTGATTGAGTCTAATGTCAAGCGTGCAACCCTAGTAGCTGTGGAACTTGCCAAGCTTGAACAAGCTGACCTAGGAACAGGGTCTCGGTGAGTTTCGTTTCTAGGTACGAGGTACGAGATTCAAATCAATGCTAAGTTCTGAGATCTCCTTCCCTATAGACACATGCCATCAATCCCAGGTGTAGCTTTTCCAAGTCAAGTTGCCTCCCAAGTTGAAGATATCCCCGAACCAGCCACCGGGGCACCTATTACACCAACGCTAAAGGCAGATGTCGTGGTTGCCGGCTCGCTAGCCATCGACTTGTCCTGCGACTACACTCCATTCGGAGACGAACTCACACAGGTTGCACCAGTACCACATACCTCCAACCCAGCAATTATCGGACAAAGCCTAGGCGGCGTTGGCCACAACGTTGCCATTGCCGCCAGCTACGTCGGCAGCGATGTCATCTTCTGCAGCGTCGTCGCAGACGATCTCAGCGGCCGCGCTGCACTCTCAACCCTTGAAAAAGAAGGCCTCAGCACCGCAGGCATTCAAGTCCTCGCAGCGACAGCAAGCACCCGCACAGCCCAATACATCGCAATCAACGACACCAAAAAAGACCTCCTAATAGCCATGGCCGACATGGGCATCATCGAGCTCCCCGAATCCGGACTCGACTTCGACGGCTTCTGGGAACCTCTCCTCGAACGTACAAAGCCAAACTGGGTCGTCGTCGACGCCAACTGGCGGCCCTACGTGATGGCCAAATGGAGTGCTGTAGCACGCAAACACGGCGCCCGCGTAGCCTTCGAGCCCGTTTCAACAGCCAAATCCCGACGCCTATTCGGCACCGGCGCAAACAGCGCCGGCGCGACTATCGGTCCCAACCAGATCGTGCCAAATAATGCTATCAGTCTTGCGTGTCCGAACCGCCTCGAGCTGACGGCTATGTTCAATGCTGCGCGGGAAGCATCTCTTTTCGAGTCCGCGGAATGGTGGCATCTCATTAACTCCATGAATATGTCTCCGACGGGCTCGCGCCAGCAACTCATTGCGCTCACTTCGCTATCTCTCGTTGACGAGGGCATTCCGCAGCAGACTGTTCAGCTACTTCCTTTCATTCCTTGTATCGTTACTAAGCTCGGTGGTGCGGGTTCTCTCCTCACTCAGCTTCTGCCGCCTGGTGATCCCCGTCTTACTGATCCGGAGTCTGCGCCGTATATTCTTTCTCGTGCGTGGGGGCCGGACTTGCCTTTCGGTGGTGTTTACATGCGTCTGTTCTCGCCTGATACTATTCTAGATGCCAAGGACATTGTCAGTGTCAATGCAGCGGGTGATACGCTGCTAGGTGTCGTGGTGGCTGGCTTGGCTAAGGACCCTTCTGTGCGCGTGGAGGATGTCATTCCTATTGCTCAGGAGGCGAGCCGGAAAACATTGGCTAGCGCTGGGGGTGTGAGCAAGGAATTGGTTCAGCTGCGGGGCTTATTGGGGCTGTAATAGGTAGCTGTCAGTACTATGACGTTAATTGCCTGAATCGGAAGTCAACTCGAGGCACTAGCTTGCTCAGCGGTGCTTGGCCTAGATCTATAAAAAGAAATTAATCGTTTAGACAGACATCGTTTAACAAAGACCCTTTGAATTAACCGATTGCAGGATGTAAAAAAGTGATGTGCTGTTAAATGACGTATAAAGTCATTGCCATGTTCTCATTAAGTACACATTAGTTAGTCGTGGACCTCGCCTTCAGTGGCCGAGCGAGGCTCCCATCCCATTTTAGCCATCTCAAACGACTCGAATAAGAAGGCCGGCGCCACCGTACACCCCACGAGTGTCCAATCACCTAGACTCCTCGCATGCTGCCACTCTCCACGCTCAACGATAGCCTGTGGCCGTTCGCCCTATATCATAGGAATTAGGCATTGCCAAGTGGAGAAACACACGACCATATACATAGAGAAATAACTCACCTTTGCAAAATCAATCCCCAAAATCATGTCCCGGGTGGGTTTCCCATCATCCCAGGATAGTGATAGTTGCATAGGGGCGCCAGCGTAGTAATGCCATACCTCAGTGCCATCGAGAACACGGTGCCATTGCGAGAGGCCGCTTTCTCCCTCGAGAAGGTAATAAATACAGGTGCTGTGCGAGCGAGTGTTTGATGAATGGCGATCGCGGAAGGTCTCGACGTAGTACCCTTTTTCTGGATGTGGGGAGAGATTCAAGGTCTTGATGATCTCTTGTGCTGAAATATTTTTCGCCATGCTATTCAGAGAGTAGAGATGTGCTTGGGTTAAAAGAAAGGAGATTGTGAAGTCAAATATACATTTGTTTCCCTATCCCCTCGATTAGTCAGTTGTGGTATTGATAGGCGTCCCGCTGCATGCTTCTCTCCTTAGCAAATCACATCTCGGTGACGTGGTAATACGATGTAGATCTGAGTCAAGGTTAATAAGCAAAGCAATCTAGCTGAAATCTGCAGATAGATGCACCAGTTGGAGGCATCAGAATACTTTCACATCCTTCCAGTTGAACCATAGCCCGGAATTATTGCGAGCTTGACATTCCGTATGGGCAACATATATCATGGACATTAATGAAGTGACTCATAAGGTCAGCCCTACGTTCCTACCATACTATGCGAACTGTCTCGCCCGCGAAAGCTTCGAGGGGCTTATCTCTCGTCAGCGCGGCCACATGTCCGTTGAGGACAACGACACTTGGCTCCTCTCGAAGCGCATTTGGATACGAAAACTCCACTTTTGATAAGTAGATTGTCTTGATAGTCCCTATTAATCGTTATGCAGTCATTACACGACAGAGACACCTAATACTAAAACACTACCCAACACTCAATATCCTTCGCTAGCTTTTGACGACGGCACAAGTCCCGGATCCAACAGTCCAACCTGCACTAGCACACCAGCCTGGTCCCAATAAAGACTCTGGCGTGTAATCTGACCAGCACTGAAGGTTGCCACTACAACGACAATGACCTGGATATCTCGCCCCGTCGGCGAAACACCAGGTAGCAGCCATGGAATCTCAGCAGTATGCCGACAGGAGAACAACATCTCATCCACGATACGATCCACACCTACAGTGCGTGACAGCAGGCGGATTTGCTGATCAACCGGTCCAGCAGGAATATACGCATGAGCGAAGAAATCCCGCAGGCTTGCGATATCAGAGCCTGTAATATACATATCAGTAAATTCCCGAACCAGATCGTAGGAAATAAAAGAGGAGAAGAAAAACTCACCCCCAGCCTGAGTAGGAATACACTTTACAAAGACCTCACCAGCAGGACACCCCATCTCGCCATAATGGCCATGACCGGTCAACATCCCCACCGCCGGCTCAGCACCAGAATGCTGATGTTTTTTCCGCATCTCCATCTCCCCCAGCACACGGTCCCAGTATTCTTCCCAGACAGTCTCGATATCAATAACAGCCCATTGGCTCCCGACATTGAACGAGCGGCGCAGACACCCCAGCGCGCGACTCCACGCCAATTGCGAGCTGATCTCGTCATCTGTGTTGAGGTCCACATTTATCTCGCCTTCTTTCTCCTCGGCAACTTCCCGCTCCGCGAACCCGGCTTTGGACTCCGGGTACGTGTACACGTGGCATCGGTGCTTTTTCTTGTAGGTGACGTCGCCTTCGGAGGTGCTGAGCTCGATCCATGGCCACAGCGCGCAGGGCTGGACTCGTGGGCCTGGGATGTGGATTTGGATTGGGAGGTATGTTGACTTGGCGGCTGGGCCGAAGATTGCACCTGTGTCTGAGCAGCCTGGTGGCGAGCAGTTTTCTTTTTCCTTGTAGGTGAATTGGTCGGTTGAGGCGAGGGGGTAGTAGGCTATCAAGGCACATAGGTGTGGGAATGGGTTTGTGTTGCTGTATACTATGTGGTGTAAGGCTAGGAGGAGGTAGGCAGGTCGGTGATATGCTGGGGTTGGTTAGTTTAGTTTTGCTATATCTTGTAGGGCTGAGGTTTCTGCTTCGAATAACAAAGCTCATATGTAGAAATAGACAAGAAAGTATAATAGAAGACGTACCAACTATCGCATACCGCTCTCCATTCTCGAGCTCATCTTCCTTTTCGTGCACCGCATTCTTCAGCGCTTTCATATCTCTCTCTTCATTCCCGCTGCCGAGGAACGGGATATAGATCACATCGAATCCTTCCCCCTGAAAGAGGTGGACTACATGGGTATCGAACTGCACAGTGTCGGAGATCAGGATGAGGTGTCGGGAAGATGGCTCTTCATATCGCCAGCTGCGTGTGCCGGAGCTCGTGCTCACTGTCCGACGTATTCCGTGCGGGTGAGATGCTGCGGAATTGGGGCCCGTGGTGTCTGCGTCTAGGTCTGGTGGGTTACTGCTGGAGCTTTGGGCTCGGCGTCGAGTGAGGCGTTGGAATACGTTGACCATGGTCTGAATGTGATTGATTGGATGAGCTGTATTTATATTGGGAGTTTAGGAGGACATGAGTCCTTTTATGTATGGAAGTTTCTGCTTCGTTTCGGGAAGCTCGGGTTGGAGTTCTTGGTATTACATGTGTCAAGACGAGAAAATGGATGCCAATGCTTAGGGTTTCTTGGGTGACGTCGTTGATGTTGCATACCACGATAAGATATGGTAGGGCTGCACATCTTCATGCTTGGAAAAAGCATCTAATAGAATCTAGAAATGACATGTCAACAAAAAGATCCTTCTTCTATGTCTATACAGCGAAATGATCTGCGCTATAGGGAAAATAATCGCAATGGATACTCATCTCGCCAACCCCCAATGGCATGATATATCTGACCCCACTTAATCAAAGCTCACCAACCACCTACGATCCTCGCTGACTTTCTCGGATGTTTTACCGCTGTCAACAAGATAGCACTTGTAAGCGTCGCGCAGCAGACTCTCCCGCGCAACCTCACAATCCACCCGAATATCCTCCACCAACGCCTCCAGCGAGACATAATCAAACTCAGGCCGAATATAACCCAGAATCAGCAGGTTGAGTCGCGTTTTATAGAAATCCGGCAAGCGATGGAACTTAGTATGGCCCTCGTGCCCCGCAGCGGTGGGCGATGGTTCCGTGAGAGCGGGCATGATATGGATTTCCTAAAGTGGACAACCACGTTAGTCCGATACCCCAAAAATACGACCGCATTTCGCTAGTTTATTGTATGTCACATACCACAGATCGCACGGTATTTTTATAGAAAGGGTTATATCCGATACTCAACACAGCAGGCAAAACCACCGCAGTGGATGTGCTGCCCTCGGCTGTTTCATGTTTGTATGTTTTCGGGTCGAGCGCTACAACGCCAAAGTAGACGCCGCTTGTCAGCTCGGGGTGCTTCTCGGACAGGTCGTCGGCGGGGATGTTGGCAGTGGGAATTCCGAGCTGTAGTCATCCGGGAGAGCGAGTCAGCGGTAAGTTCATTGTGCGTGTTGCGCTGCGCGATTATAGCACCGAGGTTGAGTCCGCAGATTCATGGACGTACGTCTTTGCTCCCGCGGCCAAATCCCTTGATCACTGGCCCTGACAGTCGCACAGGATAAGGAGGTTCCGGGGTATCGGGGCCGGCTACCCGGTCGCGCAGCTTGTCGGAGCCCATCAGCGCTGGCGGTTGAGGTTGAGGTTGTGTGGATACGGGTCAGGCTTGGGATATGGTGAAGCGTGTATATTGGCGCAGACAAATCTGCTAATAAGTTTGTTTTGTTTGGCGTATACTGATTGTGTGATTTAGCAATGGTTTGGCGTGATGCTGGCGTTGAGTGTGTCTGAATGCGACCAGCCCTGGTGGGGGTTATCGCGATAAGGATGCATTGCGTACATAATTAAGGCGCCTGGGGTATCAGGCACAAAACCACATGTAATTTCGCAAAAAGCGGCAAGCAAGCACTAAAACGGAAAGGGAACGCCAAGAAGTGGCAGAGGAAATCAAGCACATAGGTAGATATATATTTCTACTACATTACAGACTAATTACACTTCAACCCATTGAGCAACACACTCTTCCACGCACTATGGCTCTCTCCGACATGCCATGCCTCACCAACCCTACTCACAGTCTTTCTATCCACTGCTTTGATCCCTCAGATCAACCTGCTCTCCCTCTCCATATCCCACCATCATGCCGTGTAACCCCCCCTCACCGCTTCCATTTCCCTTCAGCAGAGCAACCGCTTCGAATCCAAATCGAAGGTCCGTTGCTAGCTCTTCAGAAGCTTCTTCCAGGGGTTTCATGGCACGTCCCCCATAGCTTTCCTTTGCCTGGCGGTCCCAAGCTAGCGGAGCTAGCGTTTCGGGCTATCTACCACCGACATGTACGGCCGGATATCGCTGGGGACATGGTAGTGCGGGATGAATACAAAGGTTGGTTGGTAGAGGCCAGACCAAAAGAGTAACTTATTCTCATACATGATTCTTTCTTCAATAGCCTATGCTGACACCTTTGTACTATAGGATGATTGATTACTATGGAGTTACATTCGACCATCTTGTCCCAGCTGACGACACCAATCCAGAAGTCTTGCAGATTAATATCGTTGAAATTGAAGACGATGTAGGGGTATATGCAAACAAGCATAACCCTTTTGAGATCGACCCGAAGGAATATATTGGGAAGAAGGTGCTTGCTGTGCCGAGGTGCTGTCAGAACAGGAATGGAACGACAGATCGGGTAAGAGTTAATGATGCAGTAAATGCTAGGGTAGATGACGCGTTTTGTTGATCAAAAGAGGGGACGATATATAAGTAATATCAGCTGCATCACGATCAAGAAAAGTGACATCTGAAAAGGAGACATTGATGAAATAGCACAGGAAACACCTTCAGTCAGTCGAAATACATATTCCGCGTTTCTTCGTATCTCCCTAACTTATGATCTCTGCCCTATAATTGCAAAGAAGAAGTCAGCTATAAAATTATAATCAAACTAGGACTGATAAAATTACCAGCTTTTGTATGAAGCGATCCATATCTTCCCTTTCAAAGGTAAAATATCTGGGATGCTCTAAGTGCTCTGGATCATATATCTGGGAAAGTTCGAAGTCGATCCAGAGTACCCGATCAGAATCACCCTGGATCAGCATATTTCTGGGGTAAGGATCAAGGTGTACAATCCCAGCTTTATGAATCTCAGCTAGGAGCTGCTTGAGTTTCTGAGCTCTTTGCTCCGTGTAATTAGAGATATCGATCATATTCAGATCAGGAATATATTCGATTAGGACACCATTTGGCCGAGCCTTTCGGTCTAGACCCTCCGAATCTAGACCCTCTGGAAAAGTTTCGTCGTAGAATTTCTTAAGCTATGATTGCCAGCCCTTCGCCTCAGGGTCAATATTCTTAGATATTATAGGCACGCTAGTTATATGGATTCCTTACTTACCATCTTGAGCAGGCAGTCCTTGTCTTCCCAGCGGGCTCGACACAGAAACGAACGATCCGTCTGTTTAATCATCTCAACGAATTCCACATTGGCGATGTCGATATTAGGTGCGTCATAGAATTTCATATTGGTTAGATCAACATTGGGTGCATCATAAACCTTGGGTACAATGTCAACTTTAGGTAGAAAGATGTCTAAAAAAGAAGACATCTTGGTTTTGATCTTGAAGGTAAGTGGAATAGGGAGGGATAAACTAGGAGGGAGAAAATAGAAGGGTTACGATGCGGCATAACATGGCAGATGTGATCCCTTCCTAGTTGTCACGTGCCAGGTACATTCAATTCGAAATATCTAAGATGAAGGAAGCAAGTGCAGGAGCAGGAGATGGCCTGCTCATATAGCTGGCGCTTCTGCAAACGTTGCAAACAACTAACCTCTTCACTGAAAGATCAGATATCAAAGCTACCGCCTTAGTACCGTCTAGTAGTATCTACCCTCCGAATTTACACCGCTTTAGTATCAAACTCCCTATACAATGTTACCTGCCAGATCAATTCAGAGAAAAGAGTGCATTTTCAACCAAATACTAACTACAAGGAGAGAAGAGAAGAAAAAAACTATATGTGCGCTCTTCCTTCTGGTTTTGTATATGTCCTATGCAAAGGACGCTTCTCGCTGACGTTCGAGGATGCAGACACAGATAGTTAACTAGTTAAGGCAAGTGCGGATGACAAGTACATTCGGTTCCCGGTATTGATGTGTAGTCAGAACCCTAGGTCATTTTGATTGCTTATGGTGACATAGTTAGCACCCTGATCGGGTTGCTAATACTACTAGTAGTACCGTTCCGGAGTAGCAAGACAGTAGATACCTTACACTAGCAAAATTAAGTCACTTTTGTCAAATAACTACTTTATCATCTGCTTCATCGTCAACTTTAAATTTAGATCCATGGATGGTTCAGGACTCAACGAGGTCAGAAATGACCCCACTCAATATCATGGCATTATGCTCATATAGTAACTATCCCGTCCCAGCTTTTGTCCCATTGTCCCTTTTGAGCGCCGCAAATAAAACAAGAAAGCATATCGACAATCCTGGAATTGATTCCAGGAATCCAAGAAGCATAACTTATATACGAGAACATAGAACATGAGAAGACCCTGTCGGCCAGTGGTCCAAAAGAAATCAAGATCAAAGGGAATCATACAATCCCAAAATCAGGAAATATGTACTGAGTAGAACAGCAGAAGAAAAGAAGACAGGCCTGATGTCAGGCCTTGCCGAGGGTATGAAAACGTAATCTGAAACAAGAGCAGGAAACAAAATCAAATGCATGGCAAGAACTGGAAGATAGCGGATTAGCATGAGATCAACTTCAAAAGGTCGTGTGATATTAGTTAGAAACTCACATTCATCACAATGAGCATCGGGATATCGAACACATCGCGTTTCACTGTCCAGCAGTACGCGCATTCGACTTTTCCATCCTTGAGACCGAGCTGGTTCATGCCAGCCTCGCCAGCAATGCCACTCTTGCGGAGGTGGTTGTTCCACTTTGCATTATCATCAGATTGTGAAACGTCCATGTCCTCCTTGGTCTTATATTTGAGCAGCTTGCACCGAGTCATGACACTACCACGAGAATCGCCGAATGCCAGACGCGCAAAGTCTTCGTAGAACTCGACAACGCTGTCATCGTCGAGGAGTTCGGCCAAGAATACCGGTTGGGGGCGTCCAGTGTTGGCATACTCTAATGTGGAGCCGCGCGGTGTGAAACTCCCGCGTGACGTTGTCCCGGATTGGGGTACGCCCGAACCGGTGTTGACGTTGAGGTTTTTATCTTTTCCTAGAAGCACGTCTTTCTTCCATCCGGTTAGGATGCTGAATTCCTTGCCTACGGCGGCGATTTCGCCGGTGCGTCGGCAAACGATGGTTGGCGTTCCGCATGCATTGATGAAGTCCTCGTACTCCCAGAGAGTTCGCTGGAAGCATTTTTCCATGAAGATGAGATCATCGCGATTAAGGGTCTTAGTAGTTGCGATAAAAGAGGGTCGAATAGACGCAAGCGCTTTAGCAATTCGCACAGTCTTTTGCGGCGAAAAGCGACGCTGGATGAAAGCAGTGAGGTTGTGGAAGCCACTTGTGTAAGCATAGGGCTCCTTCACGCTTTCGTATATTGAGGAAGGATTGCGGTGGCGTCTTTTAGAACCAACATGCAGATTTGGATGCTTCAGTATTGATGCTGACGTCACCTGGCGTTGTCCATTCGGCACCAGGCTGTTGGACTTGGGAGCAGAAGCGATATTGTTAAATGTGCCGTCCTCGAATGCAGCCGTTGCAATGTTCGGGCTTGGGGCCGAGCCAGGACTAGTGAAGTTTGTTGGCGCACTTTCGATCGCAAATGCATGTGGTGCATTTTGTTTCATGTGTTCGGAAAGCATGGCATTTTGGCCATACACACCGCCGACATTCACATGTTGGCCCGAAGCCGGTGCGGTCGACCATTCGTTTAGGAGAGGATCGCCAAACATGAAAGGTTGATTCCCCGGGCTTTCTCCGAAACCGGGAGCTGGTGTGGAGAACTGGGCCGAGCCACTGCGGCCGATCGACCCTCGCTGTCCTGCAGAATCAGTAGGAGAGTCACCGGCCGCGCCGGTGGCCATGTGCCCAAGCATGCCGAATTCCAGAGCACCGTATCGATTTTCGAAGTTCATGCTCGATAAATCGAAGTTGAAGAGAGCTGGATCACTGGGATCAAAAAATGGCCCTGCAAAAGGATTTTGAGACTGACTTGTATCCCCAGAGAGAGCAGTACTTGGAGTAGCCTGCTGGTTCACAGTTGATGAAAGACTTGGATTTCGACCATTGGTGCTGCTCTTCATATTGAAAGTAGGTGAAACGGGTGATTGCGTGGTAAAAGGGCTTTGGCTCATGGAAGACTCTTGGTAGGGATTGTAGGATGCTGTCTGCGTCTGAGGCGTAGGGTAAAAGTTGTTGCTCGTGGTACTGGTTGTTTGGTTATTGTGTTGATGAGTGTGTTGTTGGCTAAGTTGCTGGTTGGAGTTGACAGCATTTGTGCCATTTCTAGATATAGGCATATTATTGCGGAGCGTGTTGTTGTAAAGATTGGTGCTGTTGCTGCTGGTGGTACTAACAGCTGGCATCAATGCCCCATCAGGAGCGTCATGGAGATACTTGGCCTTTTTGCGAACACCATCATGGCAAGCATCTTGAAGACCACGTTTGATGCAACGTTGACACGGTCGTTCGTCGCCTAAACCCGACATATATTAGTCAGATCGCTAACAAGGGCAGGGATCAGTCTATCATCATACCGCAAGTCAAATGAGCTCGTTGGCATGCAAAGCAAGCTCGCCGAGCCTTCTTTCGTCGCGGTCGGGAGGGATCCTTGGCATTCGCTGCTTTGCGATCCGCTTTGCTATCGCCATTAGTTTTGGGCTTTATGTCCATTTGCTCGTGTTCTGTGATATCGGCAGAGTCCCGATCTCCACTGTAGTCCCCTGCAGGACCCGGGGAGCCGTTCTTAGCTTCCATATTCATTTCGGCATGTACCCCGAGAACGGTGATCTATGGACGCGTCCACAAGAGTGAGGGAAATCGGTGTTTCAGATCCAGTAGGCCACCTTCCGTGCCTTCTTTTGTTGATCTAAAGAAACAGAGCGTGGTGGCGACAATACCAATGATACCATGAGCGCTTCGTTTCCGGCGGGCGAGCGGATCCACGTGCACAATATTCAGCCCAGCTTGTGAGAGGGAAAAGGAAACGATCGCAAAGTCCTAATCGTCCGTGTAGGTTCTTGAAATCCACCCAAATCACCTCTCGAAGGTTGGAGAGATCTCCGGTCCTTGGTTCCTATAATCGCGCGTTTGCGACTACAGTTGGTGGGGAGTCGGCACCGGAATCACGGCGAGTCGAGTCACGGGTGTAACGGGGGACAATCGACTGGAGAAGCGACGGATGTACGATGATCTGACACATTGAAGGGTTTCAATGTGGTGGGTAGATAGGGAGAAACTGGCGCAAAGCTAACAGCAGAAAAATACCGCAATGGTTCGGGGCTGGAGTGGAGTGGACGGCTTCGTTCGGTTGCGGGGAAGATGTGAATTTCTCTCCAAACACGAGAGCCGTGCCGATGCGAGGCCGGTCGAGAAGCTCAAAAGAAAGAAGGTCGAGAGGCAATGCAAATATTATTCGCGCGGAGGGTTGAAGAAGAAGTGGATGATTCTAAGAAGGGCTCTCGATCGGAGTGTTCCCGTGACTATTGTCTAAGCAACAGGACTCTAACACGACACAGTCCAATTGTAAAGGACTTGTAGAGGACTAAATGAGACTCGCTTGAGCGATGGAATCCTTTTTTTTTAATCCTTTTTTGTGTATTTTTTTATATATTTATTTCACAATGGCTTTTAGAATTTTAGCGCTATATTTCCCTACTAAAAAGGCGCAAGACTATACTTAGAGTATGTACTCCGTAAAAAACAGCCACTATTTTACCTGATTAATTTTTGTTTTTTTTTTTGCTACCCAACCTAATCTCACGTTGGGCGTGTCTTAATTGAAGGATTATCTCTGATCAGAAATCCTGCAAGTATAGGGTTCTATAAGAACCGAAGGGCTCTATATGTGCATCATACATTCACATGCTGACGTTCAGGGCAACGGTCACTGGAGGCATTATTAGTTATGTATTTGACTATGCCAAGTATTACAGCTTTCATAACATTACCAGAAACAACCTGTAATTCAAGTGCATCTGCAGACTCTGATTGGTTGAACTACAATCCAATACCAGATCGGGTTCAGCGCATACCAGATGACCTAGACAATTAGTAGCCCCGCGGCACGTGCCTAATTCGATTGTATACTCTGTACCTTGTTAGCTTCTAAATTACCCAACGTTCAATGCAAGTATATCCAATTTGAGTCATTATTTTTTTCTGTCAAGCTGAATCGATCCCGAGAAACCCGGTCCAGACTTTCGGCAGCACGCTCCGATCCCGTTTTGTTCCGAGGCAGACTGGATGCGCTCTGCCGAGGCTAGAAGGATCGCAACAGTTATACCGCTCAGCTATGACTCTACTTTTAAAGGAGGGATTGTCATGTCTGCTTGCTGCCAGGGGTAAGTTGGTTGGGGATGATTGCCGGTGAATGAATTTCAAGACCACATGACCCTCGTATGCTTCGCAACTGGACTGGCAGACTGGGGGTCCCGTCGGAGAATTAAAGCCTGGACCAGGTCCGCCTAGTTTCTATTCTTGGCGTGAGTGGGAGCTATTTACCCCTAGTGTGTATATAAACCCCGCTAGTAGATAGTATGAAAAGCTATAGGTCTGCTTGAGATCAAGAACGGCTAGATCGAATATGCAAGATGCTTATATGGAATCAAATAGAGCTAGGATATAAAGCATATCCTTGCCGATCATGCGTATTATTAACTATGATTTTATGCATTGGCTTTTACACTGCAGACGGTACAGCAGCTAAAAGCGTTATGTCCTGACATCCCCAGTAGCCAAACGTCTTAGCCCAGGGGGTTCCCAGCATCTGGTCATGGATGCCGTGTTCATCTCCTTGGCGCACGGTGTTCAAAACTGGTTGTTAAACTGTTGACATGCAATGGCGCCGAGGGTAGATCTGTGCCCTCGCGAAATAGCCATCCAGCCAGCGACCAACCCGCTTGAGATTAATGTATGTATGGGCTATTATATGTGCACCGCAGCATCGATCACGTCTGTGATTTCGCAAACTTGCTTTTACTTCGGATCCATCTCCCATGGCGAAAGAATAGGTATCTATTATAAAAGTCAGTGCAACGTTCGGCGGACAGATCAACTCATGTTAAGTTATTGTCTCCAGAGCCACAAGGAAGCTGGGATGTCAAACTTTCATCCCTGAGGCGACTTGCTGGGGTTCATAATGCAGGGGGAAGAAATAGGTATAGCGTAAGAGGAAATCAAGTGTGTCAAAATCAGCACGTACGGAAAAGGGACCATGACAAGGGTCAGGAACGCTAACAAGGAAGTTGCCCATTGATATCCAAGGTTGTGGTACACTGCATAACCGTTAGCCATAACCGTTACCTCAACTGTGTGCAGGCAAGAATGTAGCTGTCAAGCATTGAGGAAGAGCTACTGGTCGGCCTGTTCAGAATACAGCGCATCCACCGCATTGGAAATATGCGCTTCATGCAAAGCACGGGCTTCCAATTCTTATCACAGCACAACGAGAGTGCAGAGAAACTTACTTTGTATTCCAAATAGCGGAAATATGCCTCCAAAGGATGACCGAGCGAAGCTGTTGGCTGCCAGAGCGCTGGCGGCAAAAGTCGGATATGCATCGACCAGGAATGTGAAGATACCCGAGTAGACTAGGATCGTCCTAGCAGTAACACGATCCATTAGCATCACACGGCCGAAAAATGCGCAGACAAGGATGGTCGCCCGGTCAGGTGGGGTTGCAAGGTTGATCTTACCCTGCACCAAAAACAGCACTGCCAATAATAGGCGCAATCCAATGGACGTTGGGATAGATTGTCCAAGCAAAAATGAAAAGACCTATAGTAACCAAGGGTCCTCCCAGGATCGCTATTCCATGAAAGTCAGCCATTATATTCTTGGGACCTTGGCACCTGAGCAATTCTGTTGGCAAACTTACCTGGGGGCAGTCGCCACTCCGGCTGGAAGTCATCGAGCGAGTTAGTGGTTTTTCTGTAATTGCGCTCCAAGCGAATGTAGTTTTGGCGCCAGATCGGATCTGACAAAATGGCTATAACCATTCCGACAAACAGACCGAGGAAACACAGTCCACGCTGCCATATTACAAGCCCATACACATCATTGAAGACTAGCTGGAAAGCACCAAAGAAGAGGTACAGAATACCCAATAGGATGGCTGAGAAAATGCAAAGGCATAGACACATTGGCTCCAATGTTAAGAGGAGAACGGGGCGATACATGGATCGCAGAACTGTCTGGGTCACAGACCGCTGCAGCTTTTCGATTGGAGCTTTCCATCGCTCGTCTCCGGTTTCCAGGCGTAGCTTCTGCGCCTTACGCCTCAAAAGTCTAAAACATTATTAGCGTCGTGATTTATCCCAGAATCTGGAAATACATACACTGGGTGATAGGTCTCTGGAACGAAGAATATAATCGAGGCGAGCATCACTCCCGTCCAAATCAAGAGCACATAAAACGTCCAACGCCTGCGAGTGATATAAGCTTCAATAGTTGTCAGAATTCAATATAAAACATACCATGTGGTAAATGCATTAATGAAGCCACCGACCCTGGTAGTTATGTTAATATTAAGATCAGAGGGTAGGCAAAAAGAACGACCTACAGAGGACCAACTTCGGGACCAACAAATGGACTCGCAGTGTAGAGCATCATGGGAAAGGCAAGCTCATGGCGATCAAACATGTCACCAACAGTACCTCCAGCAACACTCAAAAAGGCACTGCCTGACAGTCCGGTGAAAAACCGAGCGATAATCATGGTCTCAGTATTCTTAGCCACCGCACATGGGATAAGCCAGATGAGAAACAGCGAGTACGAAACGAGGTAGATGTTTCTTCGGCCATAGAACTAAGAAAAATCAGATCAGTAACGCAAATATCTAGTAGCAAAAGTCTCAAACAAACCTCAGATAACGGACTCAGAAAGAGCGGACCAATTCCTAAAGCGAAAAACATCAACACATAGTCCCGCGAAAGACGACAAGATCAGCACAAACCAAGACCCCAAATAAAAAACGACAACCCAAGAGTCGCGACTTCCTGCGAGCATCCGAATTCACTCATCAATTGGTCATATGTCGTGGTATACATCGAAGAGGCACAAGTCCTACATGCAGTAGGTCAGCTTCTATGCGGCGCAGAGAACTCAAGACTCAACCGGCTGTACACTCACACGCAAAGCGAACCCATCGAGATAATAACGACAACCAACCATCGTCGGGCTTTGCTCATATTGCGCGGATTCATAGGATCGTTCTCCTCCCAGCCCACAATATATGATTCATGGTCGGTCGCCACCGCAGCCTCGTCAACATCATGGCTGGCAACGCTGACGCCGTCATTCAATGACCAGCTGCGTTCCAGGGGCTTGGATGTAACTGATCTAGACGCGCTCGAGCGCAGTTTTCGGAGCGGTGTGCTGCCTTCTTCGTGAGTACCCGGGGAGGTGATCGCAGCATAACTCAGATCATCGGATTTGGTGCGGTCGAATTTGTTGGCACTCTTACCACTAGAGGGTCTTTCGGGGCCGATGCGAGTTTTTTCTTCGCTGGGGTCTGGGTGCGACACGTCTGTACTTGACCGCGGAGACATGGTCAATGGGCAAACGGTCAATTGTCAGATTTGATCATCTGGTAGGTCTTTGTGTTAGCGATGAAGTCATAGGAAACAAATCGAACGGTCTGGAGCTACCTGGGTGTATGTATTGACTGGAGGAAATGTGAGTCACTATCTTGCGAGGGAAATTGAAGGGGATTCTCCTTAGCGTCTAAAATCGAAATCCAACCTCGGAATTTCCGAGCTGATCAATCAGTTTACGGGGTCCTAATTCCGCTATCTCGAAGCCGACCTCGGGAGTGATTCCGCCTTGGACATTGCTTAAGTGTAATTCTAACCATATGTATGTAATGTTGTAGAAAATTCAACTATTCTACAAATAGATAGACATATGTCGTTTTCAATGTTTTGACTGGGACATTAGTTATCGGATGCCAAGAACGTAAACACGTGGGGACGTTGGTATGTCGCACGGAGCTACTCCGTACTCCGTATATAATTCTCCGAGATCGCAGGTCTAAAACATTGCAGACAAGAATAAGATATGCTTGAGACAGAGATATGTTCAATTAAGCTAGAGCTAAAACTACTACGGAACAGAAACAATTCATCAACGTCGCTTCCAAGGGACCAGGTGCCCAAACAAAAACACCAACAAAAGGTAGTAACCAAAGTCCTGTCTCCAAGCTAACCCTAAACTCCTCATAGCCATTCGACCGAACGCTATTCCCAAAGAAAACACCGGATCTCAAATCGAGATATTACGGAACCATCCCAAAGTTGAGCTGTACAAGAAAAGAAAGATGCGCCAATAGATCCCAGAATTTTGGCCAAGAGGACACATTCTCTAAAGAGCCTGGCTGAGCTGGCTCATGGCACCAGAAGCGTTTTCCTCGGCCCAAGAACCCCAGAGTGCCTGCTTTCCAGTGACTTTGAGAGGACCACCAATAGACTTGGCGCCCTGGTCAACCTTGACAGCATCTTTCGTGGCCAGCACCAAGATTTCGAAAAACATTTTGGTAGCATCGGCCTTGCTGGACCGCTGCTCGGGAAGGAGCTCCTGGAACAAAACGCTCTTCTCCTGCTGGGTGGCTGGGCTACCAAGCTTCTCGCGGAGAATGTGCACAGCGTGCTTGGTGCCCATTGAGACCGGTTCGGTATCGACGGGGTGCGCAATAGTATCATCCAGCTCATCCATGGGCTGGTTGTTACCGTCGTCCTCATTCAAGTGCAATACATCTTCGTCATCTCCAGGGAATTCAATCTCAGAGCGCTGGTTCATAGTGGTATCGAGAGCGATACCCTCGTCAATCGGGACCATGGCTTCCTCGTCACCAAGATCCAGGGCAGGAACGTCGACGGCAGCCACATCCATATCGGAAATGCCACTATCGCGCTTGCGCTTCAGCTCACCGGCTTTCTTGACGGAATCTAAAGAGAGCATGCCGCGCAGCTCGGGTGCCCATCCGCGTCCACGGTCCTCACCAAATACACTAGACACAAAGTTGCCATTCTGCTGTCTGGTCATCAGAGTGAGCAGGACGGGGTCGCGTGGCAAGAATGATGCGGGCTTCAAAATCGAAGAGCGGTCATTTTGCTGGTCCTTGATCTTGGAGCTGGAGATCGCAACTTGTTTGTCGAGTCCCATAAGCTTCTGGCGCTTGGTGCGTTGACCCTGGTGGGCGCTAACGGCATCAGGGGTTGCAGATACATCTCTGTTAATTTCCTCTTCCAGCTGATTTATCTGATCGGATCCAGCATCGGAAAGGGGGCTTTCGGAGTCACGTTCGAATCGGTTTTCAGCAGCACGGGGCGTCTCGCCACCACCAAAGTCGTTATCGTTGTTGAAGTCCATGGGACCATCTGGCAGTAGGTCGTTCAGGTTGTCATGGACATCATCGCCAAGGTCCATCTTGTCGAGAGCCTCATCATCTCCAAGGTCCAGTCCGAGATCGTCGTCGTCGTTGAATTTTCCAGCGTCATTGAACAGATCATCCCCTACGGGACGAGGCGCGGGAGCATCTCGACCAATTTCCATAGTCGGGTCATTTCCAAGGGGCAATTCATCGTCGCTGAAGTTAAGATCAACAAGGGAAGGGTCTTCAAGGCGTGCGGGTTCCTGAGAAACAGAGCGGCGGAAGCTGCTGTCTGGGAGGAATTGGCTTCCAAAATCCATGCCACCAGGGCGCTTGCCAGCAGGCTCCAGATCTAGAGTTTGAGGGAAGAGCAGAGACGTATCAAGGTTGGTGAAAAGATCAGATTCAGTGAGAACGTCGGGAAGAGTAATGCCACCTGGAGCGACGACAGTCGAAGTCAAATCATTGTTGTTTGTGAGACGGAAAGCCTGATATATCATTAGACTGAACCAAAACACCATTTATGCAAAATAATACATACCATTTTAATTTTCATCAGAGCTTCATTGCAATCGTCGAGGAGGTAGCGAGCCTTGCGGCTATAAATTCGAACCACACCCAACAGCAATTGACCACTTAATCGCAGAGCCATAGGGGCTTGACCCTGATCAACAATAGCATTGACACTGCTCTCAATATCCGATTGCAGGATATGCGACTTTGAAAGTTTGCGTTCGATATTAGCCGACAACCAAACGCGAGCCAACGGCCCGGTTTTCGACAAAAGGGTCTCGGAATAGAACATGGTGTGTTTGTCGCAACGAGATCTTTTACAAAGAGGAAATATCTGTTACCAAATTCGGTAGGCGAAAAAGACCCGCCCGGCGCGGGGGTGAGGTGTAGAAAGGCGACGCGCTGAAGCCGGGAAAACAATGACTTGTGCGAGGATTCGCACTTGATAATTGTATGAAAAGGTAGATATGTGACTAAGGGATAAAGGTTTATCACTCGATCGCGTGAAATTAAGACATCGAAGATGGAGATGGAGAGGGTATGTGCGCGGGAGGGATATCTTGGAGTTGGCTGAGAAACCAAGGAGGAACGGAAGATGCGCGTCGGTGGGAATATCAGGCGGCAGTGGCCTGGGCGGGATTTTTGCTGACGTAATCGAGGGGGCTGGGAATGTCAGGTCACGTGAGGGTACACAAAGGAACTTGTACGGAGTCCATACTCCGACGTATCACAACAATGAATCTGCTAGCGAACGAAAATTTGCCTCATAAATAGGCAAATATGGAAGAGAATATCAATAGGACTTTTGATTTCTCACAAAACCACAGAAAACTCTTGTATAAATCAGTACATCGTATACTCTGCCCTACACGTGATACCTTGCGCTAGTCTTATTATAGTATCCGGATAAACTCCCTACCCGAGATAGCTAGGCCACAATGGGTAAAGCATCATCATGGGGACTTAACTAGCCTCTTCCAAGTGGACTCGGTGCTCTGAATGGGAATATTTTGCGGTTTTGATTTTAGCAAAAAGCTCTTTCAAATTGCATTTTTGGTCCCAAGTCCTCTGTCGGTCCCTTGTTTGTCGTCGACCAACTTGCGCCGACTCCGCAAATCCAGCAGTTAGTTAAGCCGCCCCCGTGTCCACGGGTGAATGCCAGATCGCATCTAACGTGCATTGTCGAAGCATAGTCAATTCTTACCTAAACGGGATGAAAACTACTTCTCAACATATCTAACGTCTTATTTTATCGCCTTTAATTATCCATCCTCCAAAGCATGAGCAATGTCAAGGTCCGCGACACCTTCATTGCCTTTGCATAATGCATCAAACAGCGACTTTCTTCGACCTTCCTCCACAACAGCCATGACTGGACGGCCAAATGCTCCATCATCAGTAAGTATACTTGACTCACGTACCACGTGTGCTGCCCTTCCTCCACTTAACGCCGTCAGACAATGGAGTTTCTAACACATGGTCTTGTTTTCTTCCAGACATCCACTTCCACATATTCATGGCTCGAGCCTCATGAAACTGCCGAGCGATTACGAACCTCTATTTTACATGGCCTGACACCCGTCGAGGCAGAGATACGCTTGGCCAGAGATGGACCGAACGAGCTTCCTCACGATGAGCCGGAACCCCTATGGCTGCGGTTCCTCAAACAATTCAAGGAGACGCTGATTCTCCTCCTCCTCGGCTCTGCTGGAATCTCTTTTGTGATGGGCAACTACGACGATGCCATCAGCATTACTCTCGCGGTAACAATTGTTGTGACCGTTGGCTTTGTTCAAGAGTATCGGTCGGAGAAGTCGTTGGAAGCATTGAGCCGACTTGTACCCCATTATGCGCATTTGATCCGTGATCTTCCACCAACTTCCTCCGCGGCAACTGAGAATGGTGGTGCATCGCCCGCAGGTTTCTCCATGGAAATGGATGGAATTCGGAGCAAAAGCCCAGGCTCGGCGTCTGCCGCGGTCAAGGCTTCTTCAACCGTCCCCGCGAACGAACTTGTACCCGGAGATTTGGTTCTTTTCACTACCGGAGACCGCATTCCCGCCGATATTCGAATCACTGCTGCAACAGATCTGAGCATTGACGAGTCGAACTTGACTGGAGAGAACGAGCCTGTAGCGAAGTACACGGAAGCTCTGCGCACCACATCTAGCGGGACCGCTTCAGCGCCAAAAGGAATAGCACCCCCTCGATCTCCCTTCTACGATGCACCGGCAAGCGGTGCTGTTGGTGCTGACATTCGGTTGAACGAGCAGCACAATGTTGCGTTCATGGGTACCCTAGTCCGCTCAGGCTATGGTCAGGGCATTGTTATCTCAACCGGCGCAAATACGGAGTTCGGCAGTATATCAGCTTCGCTACAAGAGATTGAAAGCCCTCGAACACCCTTACAACTGTCCATGGATCGTTTGGGACAGGAGCTAAGTTATATATCTTTCGGTGTCATTGGATTGATCGTGGTTATTGGTCTTATACAAGGTCGCAAGATTCTCGAAATGTTCACGATAGGTGTCTCGCTGGCCGTCGCAGCGATCCCAGAAGGCTTGCCTATCATTGTTACTGTCACGCTCGCGCTCGGCGTCCTGCGCATGGCTAAGAGGGGAGCAATCATGCGAAGACTGCCCAGCGTTGAAACTCTTGGCTCTGTCAATGTCGTCTGCTCGGACAAGACTGGAACTCTTACTCTCAACCATATGACAGTTACCAAAATGTGGCATTTCGACTGCCCAGAACCATTCGACGTGCAAAGAGAAATGACATCGGTTACTTCTTTTGGCCCTGCAGCGCAAACAATCCTGCGCGTTGGTAATATTGCAAACAACTCTCGTTTGTCACGGATGCACGCAAACTCGCCAGCCAGCGCGTCTTCTGCGACTGTACTTTCGTCGACCATCAACAGTGATTCGGCTGCTGCCAAGAGTCGATGGGTGGGTCAGCCCACTGATGTGGCAATTTTGGATCTAATGGATATCCTGGGAGAAGATGATGTGCGCGATCGTATCAGCGCTCGCGTCCATGAGACCCCATTCAGCTCCGAGCGGAAATGGATGGGTGTTGTTATCGGCGATTCTGGTGGTTCAAATGGAGGTCCCCATGTTGCCTATATTAAGGGTGCTCTCGAACAGGTCTTGGCGCGATCGGATACCTATCTCACCAAGGATGGTCGGGAAGTAATTCTAGACGAGCCCCGTCGCAAGATCATTCGGGAAGCAGCAGAGAATATGGCATCGGAGGGTCTTAGAGTTCTTGCCTTTGGCAGTGGAGTTGTTCGTGATACGTCTAGAGGTGGCAGAGGCTTTGGCAGTCGGTCGTCCCCGAAAATCGTACAGGGTGATGATGACGAGCGGTACAATGGCTTAGTCTTTGCTGGATTAGTGGGTATGAACGACCCGCCGCGTAAAGATGTGCACAAATCCATCCGACGCTTGATGTCTGGTGGTGTCAGAGTCATCATGATTACTGGCGACGCTGAGACAACAGCTGTGGCCATTGCGAAGAAGCTTGGAATGCCAGTTAACGATTCCCCGCATGCCCGTTCAGTCATCGGAGGCGATGAACTCGATCGTATGACTGCCGCTGAACTTGCCCAGGCAATCTCAACGGTCTCGATCTTTGCCCGTACGAGCCCAGACCACAAGATGAAGATTGTGACAGCACTTCAAGCCCGCGGCGATGTAGTTGCCATGACCGGTGATGGTGTCAATGATGCGCCCGCTCTGAAGAAAGCTGACATAGGTATTTCCATGGGCAAGCTAGGCACCGACGTTGCCAAGGAGGCAGCGGACATGATTTTGACAGATGACGATTTCTCGACCATCTTGCAGGCAATCGAACAGGGCAAGGGCATCTTCTATAACATCCAGAACTTCATTACGTTCCAGCTTAGTACCAGCGTGGCTGCACTCAGTCTTGTACTGCTGAGCACCACTCTTGGCTTCAAGAATCCGCTGAATGCTATGCAGATATTGTGGATCAGTGAGTATTCCTGCATCCGATTCTATCCCTTGTATTTCTCTAACAACTATTACAGATATTCTTATGGATGGCCCACCCGCCCAGTCCCTAGGCGTCGAGCCCGTCGACCCTACCATCATGAATCGCCCGCCACGACCCAAGACGGCCCGTGTTCTGACAAAACCTCTAATCCAGCGCGTCCTCACCTCAGCCATGGTCATCATGGTCGGCACGTTGTCAATCTACATCCAAGAAATGGGCGATATCACCGACGGCAACCCAGTCGAAAAGCGCTCCCGCGTCGTCACCGCGCACGACACCACCATGACATTCACCTGCTTCGTTTTATTCGACATGTTCAACGCATTGACATGCCGCAGCGAGGGCAAGTCCGTCCTACGTGGTGAAATGCCGCTGTTTGGGAACAAGATGTTCAATTACGCTGTTCTTGGCTCGTTGGCCGGCCAGGCCTGCGTGATCTACCTGCCGTTCCTGCAGCGCATCTTCCAGACCGAGGCTCTCGCCTTCGGGTCCTTGGTCAAGCTGGTCTGCATTGCCAGTTCGGTGTTCTGGGTGGATGAAGGTCGCAAGTATCTGCATGCGATCCGTCGTCGGCGTGGGGTGGGTTCTGGTTATAGCGTCAATGTCTGATCTACTGAGACAACGGGTGTACTGTTCGGATTTCCTGTTACGATTTTAGAGGTGTCCATGCCATAACGTGTAGTTTATCATATTTGGATTGATATCCCCCATATACATAATAGAATTGTCGGCTGTCGTCATATATGTTATGCCTTCCCATATAGTTGGCCGCTTATGTGGCCTTGTCTGTCTTTGGTAGTCTTTTTTTGGTATCTTTTTTGGTCTTCTTTGGAGTCCTCTCTTTTTACACTTTTGTTTACATGTCTTTTTTACGGATATATTTTTCTTCTTAGTATTGATGTTGCTTTTCTATAACTAGTTAGTTATGTGGTTCGTGCAAGCATGTAAGCAGTGATATACCCGCGGACCCATAACTATATACTCCGTATATCACAACGTTATGGCTACTCTGTACTCATCTCCCACTAACCCGAATTCTACAAATTTCGGTAGACGCATGTTAATAAAATACCATTTCATTCCCTTGATTCCTTGTTGACTTGAAATTTCCAAATTCATAGATACATTGATCAAGAATTCCCACATTTCTCGACCGACGAGATCCAGTTCCCTCTCTCAGAGAATTGCAATCCTAAACGAGGCCGCAATATCACTGGCGAGCACGATATAGAGTGTCATCCGCAGCCAGCATTCCCAGATACCATAAGCCAAGCGCAACCGTGAGCTGCGGCTCTTTGGATGTGCCAGTCTGGGTCCAGGGGATCGGAGCACCCAGCTTCAAGTTCCCATCATCATCGACTCGCTGAATTGGAACCAGCTCTTGATCGGTAAGAATGAAGCCAAACTGCGTGCCATGCTGCGTCATGTACCAGTTCACTTGTGCTAGAGGTTTGAAGAATTCTGGATCAATAAAAGAACTATTCATCATGCTGTGTGACCATTTCCATGAGGGCTTCAGGTCGCCTGGAAGGCGGTTCGGACTCAGAACATTTCTATTGCTAGCTTCACCAGCTTCATAGATCGAAAGATCTGGGATGAATTTCGCCAGCGTAAGAGCATCAGGGCCTACCCCGATCAAGACATTGGTGCGTTCGGAAAGCGCGTCAAGGACTCGATCGAGAACTTGATTGAAAAGAAGATCTTCCGGTTGGCTTAGAGCCTGAGGCTCAGCCTGGGGATCAACCTGGGGCTCGGCCTGGGGCTCAGCACGTTGCTCAGCACGGTTATCAATATGTTCAAAGGTACACCGCAGGGACCGCCGAATCAGAGCGTGAAGGTATTCCCCAAATGCGAGATGCAGGCCACTTTCAGACGTGAGCTCCCGTTGTGGACTCGGGGACCGAATAGTATGACGCTGAATGCGAATTGCCCTGAGCAGCGGGCCAAATTCATGCATGATGTCGTCTATGTTGAACTCCGTCCAGACACCAACAACATTGATCTTGTTCGGATCATACGATCCATTTGTCGTGTTTTGCTTCGATTGTCCGACATGGCGAACTTGAATGCTTGGTGGTGCTTGTAGCAAATAGGCGAGTAGAGTAACTTGGTTTGCCATCTTGAACAGAATAAAAAGGTTGAGAGATGATAATTCTTGGGAAATGATAGTTATCAGGAAATGATGATTGTTAGGAGATGATAATTCAGAACTGACTCCTGTGAATGGGTGTCTTGTATATTTGAGATGGGAAGGATGAAAGGCATAATCTATTAGCATCTCCTTCCTATTCGAGGTCAACCGAAAGCCCACGTCCCCGAAGCGCCATGACAACCAACAGCGGGAACTGACAGAGGTAATCATTGGCAATGCTCACTCGAATCAAAGCGCTAAGTGTGACTGAAACGTATACCTGCAGCGGAGGCCGTCACCGGGTACATATGCATACAAGCCATGAGAAAATCATTAGCTATACTCACTTAAAGCGAAGCGCTGTGCGTAACTGAAACGTATACAGCGGAAGCTGTCACTAGGTACATATGGATACGAGTCACATCTTACCGGATAATCATTGGCTATGCTCACTCGAAGTGAAGCGCTAAGGCGTGACTAGAACGTATACCTGCAGCGGAGGCCGTCACCGGGCACATATGCATACAAGCCACAAGAAGATCATTGACCTCGAATAGGAAGGAGATACCAATAGTAGTAATAGGTTATCATAAGAAAATCATTGACTATGCTCACTCAAAGCGAAGCGCTAAGGCGTATCCTTGCACCGGTAGCTTTGGGATCAGACCACAGGCCCCTCTAGGTCTAACAGATATTATTTTGGTCTATGTCATGGCCTAGTGGTAATATGTGCTGTCCGCTCGAAATTGTAAGTCGTTTTCACCTGTCACCAAGAAGGGAAAGAATTTCAAAGAAAAAAAAGTGAAAGAATATGCGAGAAGATGTCTAAAAAAAGACTATCACAAAGACATCACAAAGCATGAGCCCCAGCTGTAAATCACAACATCGAAAGCCAAACGCCGTGACCTACATAGAAGCTCTTTGACTTGTCTTTGACTTGTCAAGCCACACTTGTAAATGATTGGCTATGCTATCACAACTCACTCAACGTGAAACGCTGTGATCAACACACATGCAGGTGCCTTGGAAGGGATGTACTTTTGTACAGTCATATTCTGCCATATAATGCCGCCTTCGCCCTTCTATCCCTTCCTTTTTCTCCCTCCCTATTCCACTTACCTTCAAGACCTATCGCGCTGGAACCAAGATGCCATCATCATTTTGGGAGCACTATCGTCACCCAGCGAAGAATATTCCTCCACGTAAGGTTTATGATGCCCCCGATGTTGATCTCGCCAATATGAAATTCTATGATGCACCCAAGATTGATATCGCCGATGTGGAATTCGTTGAGATCATGAAACAGACGGATCGTTCATTTCTATGCCGAGCCCGCTGGCAAGACAAAGACTGCGTGCTCAAGGTGGTAAGCGAGGAAGTCATATAGCGCGCCTTCAAATTTAATATCTAATAGGTTTACTAGTTCATTCCTTACAAACCGGATACTTGCGAATCACCGTTCCTTACTAGGGATCTTTTTACAAATGAGAGCCGCGCATATAGTCGATTGAAGGCCGGTGGCTTTTGTGAACGAGGATCGGTACCTGACTTCTATGGGGTGGTTGAGAATATTGACCCTGAGGCAAAGAGCTGGCAACCACAGCTCAAGAACTTCTACGATAAAACTTTTCCGGAGGGTCTAGATCTAGAGGCTCGCCCAAATGGTGTCCTAATCGAATATATTCCCGATCTGAATATGATCGATATCTCTAACTACACAGAGCAAAGAGCTCAGAAACTCAAGCAGCTTCTGGCCGAGATTCATAAGGCTGGGATTTTACACTTTGATCCCTATCCCCGAAATATGCTGATTCAGGGTGATTCTGATCGGGTACTCTGGATCGACTACGAACATTCCGAAATTTATGATCCAGAGGACTCAAAGCATCCCAGATGTTTTGCATATGAAAGCGAATGTATGCATCACTTCATGGAAAGGCTGGTAATTTTATCACTCCTAGTTTGATTATAACTTTATAGCTGACTTGCAATTCTAGGGCAGAGATCATAAGTTAGGGGAGTACAAAGAAACGCGGAATTTGTATTTTGACTGACTTGAAGTTGAGGGGCGGAATTTTGATAATCAAGGGATCCTATGCCATGCCATCAATGTCTCCTTTTCAGATATCTTTTTAGCAAAAAGACAGATGGTAATACTAGGCAGCAGCTCATAGAGTCCAGGGCACCTATAAATATTATTTGTATACCTGTGAGGTACCAGATCGATCAAGAAAGAAAAGAGTATATTCAACTAAATAACAAAGGTGGAAAGAAAGAGGAAGCAAGTTGCAAAGTGGGAAGCAGCCAGTTGATATAGCTGAACCTTTGCAAACGTTGCAAGCCTCGAACATCTCGTTTAGCTATATTAAACAATCTGGTTATCTAGCAAAAAACCAGTGAAGTGAACAATGCAAAGAGCAGATAGTCGCCGATCCGTAGAGTCATAGAACAGACAATCATGCGAACGGTAGCATACCTTTTAACTAGGTACTTCGGGTATAGCGCCAATTGGCAGCCATTTTTCGCTGACTTTGTAAATTATTATGCCCAGGTGGTAACTGGCTAAGTATTCCTACGGTATTCCTAATAACCTCACATGGCTTAGTTAACTATTTGTTGCCGCTGTACGGAGTACTGATCACCTGATATGTCTGTCACAATAAAGATCGAAATCAAATCGTGGTTTTATGACAACTACTAACTCACCGGCGTGTGGCTCGAGTACGTCATTCAACAATATTAAATCATGATAAGTAATTAGAGAGTGATCAAAAAGGAGTATCTCGGGGGTATTGCAATTGGTATCAGACGTAGCACAGTCACGAAAAGTCTACTATATGACTATCTGTTTGCTTGCTTGCTTACTGGCTTCCTGTTTGCTTCATAGATTGTTTGCTCGCTAAAGCGAGAAGGTTGGCTGTTTGCAACGTTTGCAGAAGCGACAGCTATATGAGCAGACCATCTCCTGCACTTACTTCTTCTTTCCTTCTTTATCTTGATATTGATAGGATCATATTCTGCCTTTTTATGCCGTCTTCGCCCTGACATCTATCATCCCTTCAAGTTCCTCCCCTCCCAGTTTCTCCCTCCCTAATACCTATTCTACTTGCTTTCAAGACCTATCGCGTTGGAAACAAGATGTTTTCTCTTCCGAGAACCCCCCAGGTTGAGATTGAACCCGAAGTTTTTGATGCACCTAAGGTTGATCTCGCCAATATGAAATTTTATGATGCACCCAATATCGATATCGCCGATGTGGAATTCGTTGAGATCATTAAAGAGACGGACCGTTCGTTTCTATGCCGAGTCCGCTGGCAAGATAAAGACTGCATGCTCAAGGTGGTAAGTAAGGCCATATAGTGTGCCTGCAATATCTAATATCTATTAGTTTGCTCCTTATAAACCGGAAGCGTGGGACCCACCCTTTCGTTCTATTGATCCTTTCAAAAATGAGAGTTGCGCATACAGTCGATTAAAAGCCGGAGGCTTTCATGAACGAGGATCGGTTCCTGACTTCTATGGGGTGGTTGAGAATATTGATCCTGAGGCGAAGGGCTGGCAACCACAACTCAAGAAATTCCACGACAAAACTTTTCCGGAGGGTCTAGATCCAAAGGCTCGCCCAAGTGGTGTCCTAATGGAATACATTCCTGATCTAAATATGATTGACATCTCTAACTACACGGAGCAAAGAGCTCAGAAACTCAAGCAGCTCCTAGCCGAGATTCATAAGGCTGGGATTGTACACCTTAATACCTATCCCCGAAATATGTTGATTCAGGGTGATTCTGATCGGGTACTCTGGATCGACTACGAAACTTCCCAGATATATGACCCAGAGCACTCCGAGCACCCTAGATTTTTTGCCCACGAAATGGAAAATATGGATCGCTTCATAGAAAAGCTGGTAATTTTATTAGTCCCCGTTTGATTACAACTTTATAGCTAACTTCTTTTGCAATTATAGGGCAGAGATCATAAGTTAGGGAAACACAAAGAAACGCGGAATATGTATTTCGACTGACTTAGGGTGGAGACGCGGAATAAGGGTTCCTGTGCCATTTCATCAATGTCTCCTTTCCAGATGTATTTTCAGCAAAAAGACACTTTTCGTGATTGTGCTGTAGCTGATACCCAATTGCAATACCTCCGAGATACTCTTTTTTGATCGTTCTCCAATTACTTATCATAGTTCCATTGTTGAATGCTGTACTCAAGCCACACGCCGGTGAGTTAGTAGTTGGCATAAACCCACGATTTAATTTCGATCTTTAAGTAGTTTAAATAGGTATGTTACTGTCTGCATAATTGTCTGTTCTATGACTCTACGGATCGGCAACTATCTGCTGTTTACATTGTTCACTTCATTAGATAGATTGTTTGCTACATAGCTAAGCGAGATGTTCCAGATTTGCAACGTTTGCAAAGGGTCACTTCTTCTTTCTCCTCATCTTTGTTATTTAGTTGAATGTACTCTTTCTTCTTGATCGATCTGGCACCTCACAGGTATATAAATAGTATCTATATGTAGGTGCCTTAGACTCCATGAGCTGCTGCCTAGTATTACCATCTGTATGATTGTCTACTATATGACTGTCTATTTGCTTGCTAGCTTCCTGTTTGCATTTATTATTGTTTGCTTTATAGACTGTTTGCTCGCTAAGCGAGAAGGTTGGCTGTTTGTAACGTTTGCAGAGGCGCAGCTATATGAGCAGGCCATCTGCTGCTTCTGCACTTGCTTCTTCTTTCCCCCTTCATCTTAGATCACATTCTGCCATGTTATGCCGTCTTCGCCCTGAAAGACATCTATCACTTTATCCCTTCCAGTCTCCCACCTCCCAATTTCTCCCTTCAAGACCTATCGCGTTGGAATCAAGATGTCTCCTTTTTGGAGAATCAATGGACCCGAGGTTAAGATTGTACCCAAGGTTTATGATACACCCGATGTTGATCTCGCCAATATGAAATTCTACGATGCACCCAAGATCGATATCGCCGATGTGGAATTCGTTGAGATCATTAAACAGACGGATCGTTCGTTTCTGTGCCGAGCCCGTTGGCAAGACAAAGACTGCGTGCTCAAGGTGGTAAGTGAAGAAGCCACATAGCGCAACAAAATTGCAGTTTCTTGAAGCATACCTCAATCCAGCTCGCGTACTTCCAATCTTGATATTCTCATTTGGTTCGCTCACAATGCTCTCTTCGGCCGCCTGCAATTTCAGCCCCTACAATATCTAACAAGTCTACTAGTTCATTCCTTACAACCCGGATACTTGCGAATCACCATTCACCATTACTGGGGATCTTTTTACAAATGAGAGCCGCGCATACAGTCGATTGAAGGCCGGAGGCTTTTGTGAACGAGGATCGGTTCCTGACTTCTATGGGGTGGTTGAAAATATTGACCCTGAGGCGAAGGGCTGGCAACCACAGCTCAAGAAATTCCATAACAAAACTTTCCCGGAGGGTCTAGATCTAAAGGCCCGCCCAAATGGTGTCCTGATGGAATACATTCCTGATCTAAACATGATTGATATCTCTAACTATACAGAGCAAAGAGCTCATAAGCTCAAGCAGCTCCTGGCCGAGATTCATAAGGCTGGGATTCTACACTTTGATCTCTATCCCCGAAATATGTTGATTCAGGGTGATTCTGATCGGGTACTCTGGATCGACTACGAACTTTCCGAGATCTATGATCCAGAGGATAAAAGGCATCCCGAATGTTTTGCATATGAAAGGGAATGTATGCATTACTTCATTGAAAGTCTGGTAATTTTGTCAGCCTAGTTTGATTATAAGTTTATAGCTAACTTCTTTTACAATTACAGGGCAGAGACCATAAGTTAGGTGAATACAAAGAAACGCGGAATAAGTATTTCGACTGATTGGCGGAATTTTGGTGCCATTTGATCAATGTCTCCTTTCCAGATGTCGTGCTGATACCGAGATACTCCTTTTTGCTCATTCTTCAATTACTTGTCATGGTTTAATACTGTTGAATGCCTTGTTTGTCCTATTCGATAGGCCTCATCTAGCTAGACAAGCAGCCCTCTATTTGTTTGTAACGAACCAACTCTTCTTCTTTTCTCTTCATCTCTGTCCTTCGAGTTACTCCGCAAAAAAATGATTGTTATGAATCGTAAAAGAAAAAGAATTATCCCTTCCTTCATTCAGTGTATATTTTGTCGAGCAAAAATATTGACCGACGCAGGGATCGAACCTGCAATCTCTTGATTCGTAGTCAAGCGCCTTGCCATTGGGCCAGCCGGCCATATGATATTTTGGCCTAAATGTGCTTTATAAGCGAAAACAGGTGTTGACCAGTTTCAACGCGTCTCATTGGTCCATTTGTAGTCTCCTGTCTGACCTTACCACAGATCAGCTTGTGCTCTTTCCACACGCCCATCATGGCTACACTCATGAAATGGGCCATGAACGTGCTTCGGAGGGCCCCCCCCCCTCCCATGCATTTCCCACTAGCGGCTTCGAAACCATCCGTTCCTCGGAGGTGCTTGACGAGGAACGGTTTGAGCAGTTCAAACAAGGACAATATTATCCTGCTGATATTGGCGATATATTTAGCTCAAAATACCAGGTCGTTGGTAAACTTGGGTTTGGGACTACGTCTACAGTATGGCTCGCTCGTGATCTTGAGTAAGTCAGAGCAGGTCTAGGTCCACTTATTCCAACCAAACACTACAATATACATAGCCCACTAACACAACAAAATCAGAGCTCGTCAATATGTGACACTCAAAATCTACACGCGTGACGAAGATAACCAGGAAGAGTTTCAGATCTATAAGCAATTGAATCAAGGGAGTTCATGGCACCCTGGCCACGCTCATATAAGGAAAGATCTGGATATCTTCACGATTCCCCGTTCCGGCGGTGACCATTCGTGTCTGGTTCAGAAACCGATGTGGGAAAGCTTCAGAGATCTACTATATCGTAATCCGAGCCATAGGTTTACCGAAGATCTACTCAAAGCTGGTCTTATGCAGGTCTTTCTTGCACTTGATTATATGCATACTGAATGCAAAATTGTCCATACGGGTGAGATTTGTCTGTCTTTACCAAAAAGCCCTGTTCCTAACACACATTCTTACAGACATCAAAAGCGATAATATTCTCCAAGAAATAGAGGACAATTCCATCCTTGACAGTTTCACCCAGGCCGAACTAAAGAACCCTTCACCCCGAAAAATCGTCAATGGTATGCCGGTATATGCTTCCCGACGATTCGACTTGCCGAATACATTTGGCCGAGCAGTGTTGAGCGATTTTGGCTCTGCGGTACGGGGAGACGAGAGGAGGAATCACGATGCACAGCCGAGTATTTACAGATCGCCGGAAGTGATGCTGAAGGCTGATTGGAGTTACCCGGTCGACATATGGAATGTCGGTGCTATGGTATTCTCTGCATGTTCACCGTCGATAACTATCATGTTCTAACCAGAATCGGAAATAATAGGTATGGGATTTATTCGAGGGAAGACACCTCTTCTACGGAAATGACCCAGATGGCAAAGGGTATTCGACCCGGGCGCACCTTGCAGAAGTCATGGGCGTTCTGGGACCACCTCCTTTAGATATGCTGCAACGTGGAAAACGAAGTCATGAATTCTTTACTGAAGATGGTAAGCATCCCTTTCCTGCTCGACACTTTGCAAAGGCTTACGAAGACCACGTTGCAGGGAAGTGGAAGCAAGATATAGAGATTCCAATAGGAACCAGTTTGGAGATATCGGAGCAGTTCCTCGAGGGAAGAAATAAGGAGATGTTTCTAGCGTTTATGAGAGGCATGCTTCAGTGGAGACCTGAAGATAGGAAGACGGCGAACGATCTGCTCCAGGATCCGTGGCTGAATGATCAGATAGGATGAAGCTGTGTGTCTGATTGCCCTGTCATAGAATGAAAACACGCTTCCTTCGAGGAGATTAATCGCGCCGAGCACTAGCCGTCTTACCGCCCCATACCCTTTCTAGGTATACGGGTGAGACGGCTATGTGACAATCTCCAGGGGCTGAGGTTCCAAGTGTAGGCCGGATATCCGCTGTAGCGAAATGTCACCTCACTGCCAACTGCCCCCGTGGCTTAACTGCTCATCCGGTGATGTCGGTCTGACTTCGTGTTGCAGTAGCATCTCTTCTCCACCTCATGTTGTAATTTCATGATGTCTTCGAGATATTGCTTGATAGCCTTCTTTTTCAGAGCCACATGATTGTATTAGGAGATCGTTATTCAGGGACAGCAGATAGCAAGTTGGTTAAAGGGTTAGGGGTACGGAGCACTCCGTATAGTACATGTACCTAGTCACATGATTGAGGGTTCGTCGAAGTTCGAACCTTACCTAGTTAGTTCAAGTTCCTACTCCTTACTCCATACTCCATAGTGTACTGAATATACATAGTTGTCTGAAGCATTAAAATCTTACCTCATGTACATAGTATTTTGAACACCATTCGGAACTACTCCATATAGGATCTAGTTAATTGATTCAACCCATGTCACACGTGCCAGGCACAATTTGAAAATAGAAAATAGAAAAGTAGAATTGTTCTCGGCCCAGATAGGAAGCCCCGATAGGAGGCTGAATGAAGACCCAGTCCCGCGGGAGTGGATCTGACAGTGCAGGAAAAAAAAAGATAAGGAACAGTGTAACCTTGTAATTGTTCCTAGGTACAACATACAATTTACATTTACAGATTAAGATCAACACGTAAATATGACCTTCATCCTATATTCAATATGTATATGTATTCCTATTCCCCTATTCGTAGTAAACATGTAGGTACCGTAGATAGGGCCAATCCTCCGGCATCGGTAGTAAGCCGGAACACGGCGACAGTCAGTCAGGAAGATCCCCGGAGCCATCGGGGAAACACGGAAAGCGTAAACGGGACCTTATCTGTCGCCAATCGTTGGCTCGTTCCCATTTCGATACGCTAACCCGCAAAGGGAAAGGCTTAGCTTACGGCGGAGCCCCACTTAGCGCCAGTGGCGAGTTGGACTTTATCTGTAGCCAATCAGCGACCCGGGAATCGATCTTCACCTGTCCAATTGCCGGTGGGCGATAGGCATTTGGGGGAATTTGGGGGTTCTGATATCCCGAGAACAGAGAAATCCAAGATAAGCGCCTGTTTCTTCGCCGAAGGTCTCCAGAAGCCGAAGTGCGACGGTGTTGTGTACGCGCAAGGGTACCTGCAGGAGATGATAAGCTATCTGGTAGTTGCTGGTATCTAGTTGGCTATCTGATTTAGAGGTTCTGAGTTTGAAAAAGATATATAAAGAGTCGTCCGCATGGAATCTAGTTCCCTGAAACTTTAGGAACTATTCCCCGGAGTCGAATTACTGCATGGTCCCATTGGATCATAATGTAATGTCCAAGGTATATCCCTCAAAAGGCCAAGGCCAAGGCTCGAACTATTGGCAAGGCACGATCCATACATGATCCCTTGCCACACGATGCGGCTGTCTACGCCGGGGATGACGAGGTTCCTATGTGTTATACTTGTTATACTGTGTCGTTATACTATGTGTTAATTATTGTATACAGAGATCAATTGAACTGAACTTTTTTATATATACCAGACCCTGACGGAACATTGAAACATTGAAACGTTGAAACACGACAGTATCTATCGATTATCCCATTGCTATTGTCACAATCTCTGACCACACCACTTCGAACCACATTTTGCCCAGCTCTCGTCCGATTTTCTCCTCTTTACCGCGCCTTCCTACGGCAATACTTGAAGTGTTTCATGATTCTATTTTAGCTTTGTTCTTCTTTCATTTTTATCGCGTGGAATCGAATTGAATTGCCAATTGCCGTTATTCGACGGGGACCCACTCGTGTCGATCTGACTTATCTTGGGATTTTTGGTTCGACGAGTTCGGGTTTCCTTATTTTTATATCCGTGGCGAAATTCTTCTCTTTTTAACTTCTGGAACATCCGTCTTTTTCTTCCTTTCGCCTTCACTTCCTACCTTCACTCTCTCCTCTACACCTGCACTCTCAACTTCCAAAGCTTCGAGCTTCTGCTACAATGGCGTTCAACGGGAAAGCCCCGTACGCCCCGGACTATGCCTCCTACAACTGGATAGGCGCCCCCTCCAATTACGACCTCTCGACCAACACAGACTTGGGCGGCGATTCCCGTATGCGTCTTTCTTGTCTCCAAACGGTGTGATGGTTTTAACATGGGTCCCAACTAGGCACCGAAAATGTCAACAAATGGTTCCAGGCCGGCGACCAGGCCTACATCCTCGTGGCCTCGGCCATGGTCATGGTCATGATCCCTGGTCTCGGCTTTTTATACTCGGGATTGGCTCGTCGAAAGTCTGCCCTGAGTATGATCTGGGCTTGTATGGCTTCGTTCTCGATCGTGACCTTCCAATGGTATTTCTGGGGTTATTCGCTTGCTTTCTCCCCGACGGCGACCAACGGTTATATCGGCAACCTGCGAAACTTCGGTTTAATGAAGACATTGGCTGATCCCAGTCCTGGTTCTCCACTGGTTCCAAACTTGCTCTATGCGTTCTATCAGGTAAGATCGAACATGGAATCATGGATTTGGTTTTTTTGTTTCCAGCCGATGCTGATATCTAATAGATGCAATTCTGCGGTGTCACTGCAGCTATCGTCATGGGAGCGGTCGCTGAACGCGGTCGCCTTCTTCCTGCCATGGTCTTCGTCTTCATCTGGGCGACTATCGTTTACTGTCCGCTAGCCTGCTGGGTCTGGAACGTCAACGGCTGGGCGTACAAGTACGGCGTGATGGATTACGCCGGTGGTGGTCCCGTCGAAATCGGTTCCGGTTTCACAGCTCTGGCCTACTCGATGGTCCTCGGTCGCCGACAGGAACGCATGATGCTCAACTTCCGCCCACACAACGTCTCCCTCATCCTCCTCGGCACGGTTTTCCTCTGGTTCGGCTGGCTCGGGTTCAACGGTGGATCCGCCTTTGGAGCTAACATGCGCGCTACCATGGCCTCCTGGAACACTAACCTGACTGCCGCCTTCGGTGCCATCACTTGGGTTCTGCTCGATTGGCGTCTGGCTCGCAAGTGGTCAATGGTCGGCTGGTGCTCCGGTACCATCTCGGGACTCGTAGCTGCGACACCCGCCTCCGGATTCATCTCACCCTGGGCTAGCGTCATCCTCGGCATTGTCACCGGCATCGTGTGCAATTACTCCACCAAGATCAAGTACTGGATCCGAATCGACGACTCTATGGATGTGTTGGCCGAGCACGGCATCGCAGGAATCGTCGGCCTGATCTTCAACGCCTTGTTCGGTGACGACGCCATCGCCGGTCTGGACGGTGTCAGTACCGGCACTGGCGTCGGCGGCTGGGTCATCCACAACTACAAGCAGCTGTACATCCAGATCGCCTACATCGTCGCGACCGCCTCGTACTCCTTCGTCATGTCCACGATCATCGCCTACGCCATCAACGCTATCCCGGGCCTGAACCTGCGCGCCTCCGAGGAAGCCGAGCTTCTCGGCATGGACGACGACCAGCTGGGCGAGTTTGCCTACGACTACGTCGAGGTCCGCCGCGACTACCTCGCCTGGACCCCGCAGAACCACGACCAGCTCGCCGACGGCCACGAGGTCCCTGCCGCGCAGCGCTACGGCATCGGCGAACACAGCGAGATGATGCTCGGTAGCTCGCCGCGCGAGGTGATGCTCGAGGGCCACTCGCCTAACGGGCAGAGCAGCCGCGGCGGCAGCGAAGGCGACGTCGGCATGCACGAAATCAAGATCGCGCCTGCTCCTCGCCAGGCCGCCGAGCAGAATCAGAATCAGAATCATTCCGATGCACAGGGTGAACCTGTTGTGCTAAAGCCGGTGCAAGAGAAGACGGAGAACTAATCAGTCCTACATTTCACTTCATTCTCCTTTCTCCCCTTTGCTTTGCCCAACTCATTCATCTTCTCTTCTCTCAATCTCTTTTGCATGACATGCATTTCGCATACGCCATTTTTCGTTTAGAAAGCTTTGATTTTCTTCGCATTTTCGCTTCTTTATCTCGATATCCCTTGAGCGTGCTTCTTTTCTTGCAACCAAAAAGCCTGGGGCTTTTTATACCATCGCAACCTACCCTCGATCTCTCTCAATCCCGCGAATCTCTCCACCGACTCCACATACCATCCGACATTCTCACCCTCCGTTCTTCTCATCTCCACCTCAACACTCAACCCTCCCGCTACCAAATCACATACCTCACACCATCTTTTCAATCCAAATACAACCTTCCTGGGAAAAGTCACTTGAATTATGGTCTAATTTGGCCTGGCGCTCCATTGTTCTCATTTTTTTTATGGCAATGGGGGATATTAAACTGGGTTCTGTACGGTATACAAACTGCTTCGTTGAATGACAAGGGAAATAATACCTTGCTTTCTGTCCATGTTTTCTGGTCTTGCGTCTGGAATAGAGCGAGATAGCCCGATTTACATTCTTATTATCTAAGACTTTTATTCTCGACGTTTGTATAATTGTAGATAGATGGTAGCTTGTAAATATTACTACCTTGCCTGTTGCTAGTCTAAATGCAACTGTCTTACTAGAACTTGAAAAAAAAAAAAAAAAAAAAAAACAATTCAAATGAACAAACGCAAAAAATGCAATTATACAAAACCTCCTATAAACAATCAAAGACCTTCCTCTCCCTACCTCCTAACCATCCCCCTAACCCTAATCAAATCCTCCCTCCCAAGCTTCTCAACAACCTCCGCCGCAACCCCACCCCTCCTCACCTCATCCCACTCATCCTCATCCATGCCCATAACAAGCGTCATCTGCACACAGCGCGCAAAGCACTCGCGATACCGATACCTCCCCGGCGCACCAGCCACATACCCAACCTCAAC